GAATAAAAAGTCAGTTCTCAGCAGTGTAGGAGATGTGCACACGCGTACACATGCATGCACTCACAGACACGCACACGTGTACACACAGATGCACACGCGCGCATACACATGCATGCACTCACAGACACGCACACATGTACACACAGATGCACACACGCGCATACACAGATGTGCACACAGACACGCACACGTGTACACACAGATGCACACACGCGCATACACATGCATGCACTCACAGACACGCACACATGTACACACAGATGCACACACGCGCATACACATGCATGCACTCACAGACACGCACACATGTACACACAGATGCACACACGCGCATACACAGATGTGCACACAGACACGCACACATGTACACACAGATGCACACACGCGCATACACATGCATGCACTCACAGACACGCACACATGTACACACAGATGCACACACGCACATACACAGATGTGCAACACAGAGACACACACGTGTACACACAGATGCACACACGCACATACACAGATGTGCAACACAGAGACACACACGTGTACACACAGATGCACACACACGCATACACAGATGTGCACACACAGACATACACACACGTGTACACACAGATGCACACACGCGCATACACAGATGTGCACACACAGACATGCACACATGTACACACAGATGCACACACGCGCATACACAGATGTGTACACACAGAGATGCACACATGTACACACAGATGCACACACGCGCATACACACATGTGCACACATAGAGATGCACACGCACGCATACAGATGCACACATGTGCACACGTGGTCACACACGCACATACACACACACACAAATGCACCAGCATCAACACAAGAAACGGTTCCCCGGAGAAGACTGCCAATGGAAGCAAGTGCAATTCAGTGTGGCCATCTTCTTTCTTCAATAAGGGGCAGGTTGCATGACCCAAAGGGGAGCCTATGTGGATGGCATGTGCTGTGAAAAGTAGAAAACCACAGCTGACCAAATAGCGCCTTTGCTGACTCAGGAAGTAGAGAACTGCGGTGCAAAGCACGACAAGCGTGGTGAGGAGCAGCACTCCACGAAATACGCTGAAAGGCTGAGGACACGCAGTGCACACCATGTGTGCAGACACTGGATGTGGGGATGACGCCCCAGGCCTGGCAGCCTGAGGTTTCGCCACGTGGTTCCAAACAGTGCATAACTTCAAACTTAGGAATTGTTTATCTCTGGGATTTCCCCTATAATCCTTTTGGATGGTGGTTGACTTTAGGTAACTGAAACTTTGGATGGGGTGGGAGGTGAGGCTACTGTACTAAGGTAATTTTTAAGACAAGAAAGTAACAATGTGCAAACTCTTCAAATACTTATAGAAGCAGGTTGTCCTCAGTGAGTGTCAGAAAACACTAATGTAGATAGGTCCTTATGATGGCACTATTGAAGATAAGGTGACAGAATGAGGAAAGCCAAAATCACTCAAGAACAAATTATTGTGAAAGACGGCAACCCAGGCACCTAAAGGCAAAGCAAAGGGGAAATTAGAGAGAACAGGAGTGGAGTGACAAAGGCCACAATGTCACAAATGCATTTCAACAGTGTAAAGACCTCGGGTCCCAGTTATGGCAGAAGCCCTTAGACTGAATTTGAAAATTCATTTAGTGACACATCCTTTAGAAGGGGACATCCTAGCACAAACTGGCTGCGTTAGTCACTTCTATCACTGTGACAAAACACCAGAGCAAATCCACTTAAAAGGAGGATTTATTTGGGCTCACGGTTTCGGAAGTTTCAGTCCATGTTGGCTGTCTCCATTGCTTTTAGGCCATGGTGAAGGCAGAGCATCAGTGGTGTAACAAAGCTGTCCCCTCACAGCAGCCCAGAAGCAGAGAGAGGGAGGAAGGGACCAAGGCAAACTATGCCTGCAAAGGCCCCCGCCTCCTAACGGCCCACCCGACTATGAGGATCAATCCATTGACGAGATTAGAGCGCCTGACATCTAATCACCTCTCAATGATGGAATCCACCAGCTGGGGAGGTCAAGCCTTCAGCACATGAGTCTTTTGGGGGAACATTTCATATCTAAACCATAATTTCATCATGAAGGCCAAAAAACAGACAGCAAGTGAAAACAAGCCAAATCCAAGTGAGCAGAAAGCAAGGATTCAGCCAACAATAAATGGTACCCATGTCACACCCAAACTCCCAGAATACAGTGGGGAGATATTTCTACAGGCTCTCTGGAGTAAGGAGAACAGGAGACCCCCCACCCCCGTGTGTGGCTCCAGTTTCTGAGGGTCCTGAAGGAGAGACATAAGAAGGTGCATGAAGGTGGGGTAGGAACCAAGTTCAGTGCAGGGCATCCATGTTTGGAGCAGCCTGTCATGGCCCCTTGCAGGGAAGGTCAGGCCGGGCTGAAGGGTGAGAGGGGGGTAGGGACAGGATGCCAAGGCACTGTGAGGAGCACGGCTTGTGTGGGCACAGGTGTGCTGAAGGTCTGGAAGCACGAGGCCACGAATCACCAGCATTACCATGTGCAAACCTGGGACACCATCCCGATACCCACCACAGTCCACCTCCTACCAACCAAGAAGAAGGTGACCCAGGCGGGCTCAGGATGATGAGTAAGAAAGCACAACAGGGAGTGAAATTCACACCTGTGTGTTCAGAACTTCCCACCACCCCACACAAAAAGCTCAGCCTTAAGCAGAGAAACACAAACTGTGACCATGTCACATGCAGTAAACTAGTAACCCCATAACTCTCTCTGCTAGTAGGATTTTTGAGAAATCAGTCTCGTTGGAAGTGAAAAATCCACCCAGGAACCACTTTGGTAAACAATTTGGCAAAAAGTTTCAGGATTTATAGAATTCTTTACTTCACCTGATACAAAAACTCAGTTGTTGTGTCCCAACCCAGAAAGTAATCAAGATAAGGAAAAAAGCCAAACACACACACACACACGACATCAGCCATGCATCCATCTCTCCTCTACCTCTTATCTGATACAGGTAGATAGATGTAAGAGATATTAAAATATGTACAAATAAAATATTTTACATGTAATCCATATATTAATGTAGAAATGAAAAGTATATTTATGCACTGCCGAGTATATAATGTTGATGTATAATAAATGCAGAAATAAATTATAAGACAGCGTCTGTTATGGACGTTTTGCAGACATCATGGTTGTGAGCAGAGTGTGGTGGTATGGGAAATGGTTTGGGAGCACAGCAGGTTCGGAAGCCACGTGGCAGAGGTGGTGCAGGACAGGTGTCTCACACCTCCTGTGCATAGGATGGAGGAGCATCGAGCTGAAGCAAACCTGCAAATGCCTTTGAGCAGGGGGGGGGCGGGAGGCCACTGGTGACTGCACCCAGAAGCCTGGGTGGACCCAGGCTGGATGGGTCCTTCCCAAGCCTGCTGTGTTACCTGGGGTATTCATACCCAGCCTCTGGGACACAGCCATCAAGAGAGCACCCCAAGAGCTGGAATGTCCTTGAGTATACAGTGGGTGCCTAATGGCTGTGTGCCGAACGATCCCAGCCTTGGGTTTCACTCCCGTGAGCTTCTGAGATCTCTGTGGAGACGCCAGTCCTGCCGACTTCCCACTTGCAACGGATTGTGAAGACCACACTTTATTTAACGACGGTAAGATTTTATTTCATAGAAATCACCATGTATTTTCACTACTCAGCGGTATTCATTTCCCGTGCTCTCAGGTATTTTAAACACACCATTCTTTTCCATTTCCTAAGTATGGATAATAAACTGCTACAGAAGCCAAAATACCTAGGGTATAAATAAAGTGCACACTTTCACTCACTGGAGACCAGAGAGTGAGAGAGGCTTTTCTCGTCACTGGTCCCAATATGTCAGCTGTGTGGAGTGAGTGTGCGTAAAGCCAGACACAAAGAATTCCACCTAAAATTAAGACAGTCCCTTACGGATTCGCTTCCGCAGAAACTAAGAAAGAAGCAGTCCAAGCAAGGGGACACCTGACGGTACAGTGTCTCACTTCTGGGCGCTTAGGACATGCCAGGGGTGGGACGCCGGGTCACCAGTGCTCTGGCTTTAGACAGCTGGAAAAATCTGAGCAGGGGCTGCCCACTCACTGCGGCTTTAGCCTGTGTCTGTAGGTCTCCAATGTGGCCACAGGGGTTGCAGGGAGGGCGGAGGACACAGCCACAAGAGCTCAGTCGGCTGCCGCATTTGGGACCCGGCCTGAACACAAGAGCCAGGGTGACCCTTCAGCCATGCCGTTCTGTGGCTGTCACTGACAGCCCACATAGGGCTGGAGTGCCAAGTGCTTGCTTTAGTGTGTGCCAGGCTCTGGGCTCCATCCCAGCACCCTCCCCATACACACACAAAAAAGTAACGTTGCTTAAAGAAAAAAAAAACCAAAAGCGACCAGATGAAGGCGGAAAAGGTCCGCAGAACAACAGAAACTTACTCTGAACCAGAGTGGGCGAGAGAGTGGGAAGGAAGTCGATGCATCCTTTGGTCACAGTTTGAAGTGAAAGTTTCCAGTATCAGAACCAGGTTTGTCTGTCTGAGCCACACATGTCACACACGTGTCAGGCTCCCATCACAGCCAGCCCTCCACAGCTGGCTCTAGACATAGCCCCTGTCCAGACGTTGGACTCGCACCCTGATGCTGCTCTCTGTGGCACAGGGCTCGTCTACACAGGCTTCTCACAGTGATTCCCTTCCTGGGGGGCAGCGCCTGGGTCTGTCAATTACGACCAACAGAGAAGACGGCGGCGACCACCCTTCCCGTCAATCGGAGCTGCGCCAGGTCACCACAGGCAGCAGACGGCCTCTGGACCACATGGTCGGCCTTGACATGACCACGGGACGGTGTCGCTGCTGCTTGGAACCATGCTTGGTCACATAGGCAGGTGGCATTTCTAAGTGATGAGGAAGAAGCCCCCAGGGGTAGCCATGCCTCAGCAGACTGAGAGAGGTGGGGACACGTGGCAGAGAGCAGCCGGCCCTGGTGGGACCTGCACGCGGTAGAGAAAGCTTGTGCTAGGGAAGGGGCTGGACTTGGGTCCAGAGAGGCAAAGCTCACAGGGAACGGGCTGAGAGGCTCCCCCAAAACAATGGAGACTTTAGGGGGCCTCGAAGTCACATGCTCAGAAGCTTCTGGGCTGTGGCTTTCACAAGAGTGAGGCACCTGATAGAGCCAGAATTCAGCAGGATGGCCAGTGACTCCAGCCCAAAGCCCTAGCGTGGGCAGAAGGCCGGATCTGACCACACGACAAGGACGGGAGGTGTCCAGGTTGGCATCGCCCTATAGAAAGGCGCATGGAGCAGTTGCTGCTGGCTCTGGGACCTTGCTGTTGGGTGAAGCTGGCAGACTGAGAATCCCTCACCGTCCTCCCCACACACCCCAGCTGCCTCTGCTGACCCTCCAGGCAGGGTGGGGATCTTCACTCCCCCTGCAGGGTCCCCTGGGTTCCAAGTACCCATCGAGGCAGAGGTTGCTCCACTCCTGGAGCTGTGGCCTGCACACAACATGCCACAGTCTTGCTGGGTCTGTGCACGCAGTGACAAGGGAGGATCCTACAATGTCCACAGAGAACAGCCAGCCCTCAGGCACACGGTCATCACTGGTCACTCTGTCTTGTGTGTCAGACTGCTAGGATTAGACAGGGAACTCTGCCACAGAGTCACAGGTAGGGCTGTGACCACGTGTCCAGACAGCAGGGAGGAAGGGTCCCGTGAGTAGAGGCACAGTGTTCCTTTTGCTCTACTTGGAGGAGCGCATTTCTTCCGAGTGGCAGGCCGTCCTGGTTGGTGGCCTCTGCTCACACGGCGGACCAGTCCACACGCTGGGCAGAATGGCTGCTCTTGTCCCAAGGGCTGAGCTTAGTGGAGGCTGTGCCTGGCTGGGTCCCGTTCATCTGCAAACCACAAAGGAGTGAGGGGTGCAGAGGGAGAGTGTGTAAAGCTGCGTGAGGGTCCTGCCTGTCGGGGCAAAGACCCCAAAGCCCTACTGCTCCCCTGGGACACAAGGGCCCTAACACCCAGTGGGTCCAGACCAGAGCATCCTGCACGGGTTCCCTGCCCATCACGTCCAGGGCCTGGTGTGCATTCATTTACCCATTGTCTGTACGTCTGTCTGTGTACTCATACCCTCTTCTCACCGTCAGCATAAGCACACCCTGTGCTGAGCACTGCTGGTGGTACGGGATCAGAGTGACTGACAAAGCCAGCTGGATCCTTACCAGCAGGGAAGGGGGTGGGGGAGTGGACAGACAATGTCATTAAAAGCAAATGGACGAAGCGAACAATCTCTGGCACTGAGAGGAGCAGGACAATGGGGAGGGGACACCAGGAAGGAGACAACCAAGCAAGGACCTAGGCGTTAGGTAAGAGGAACACATCACTCACACAGCTTCTGCCCAGGCTGCCTGGGCCCTGCTGGGGATGTGGAGGACAGAGCGATGTGGACAGAGCTCAGGGAAGGAGAGGACCATCTGGGGGACTCGGGATTTAGTGACCAGTCAGCAGCACCACACACACTTGGGGAGGTGGAAACTGGAAGGCAGCCTCTGTGGTCAGTGCTGACCAGCACTGGCATTCCAGGTAATGACCACATCAACCAGAGCCCTGGGGTCAGGGAGGTGAAGGTGCAGGGTACTGGGAACAGGCAATGAAGCAGAAAGAGACTCAAAATACCGCGCTGCACTTACGATGTCAGAATTGAAGGGTTTCACGTTGGCGTTGCGGGTGGAGCTGCTGGTGAGGGACCAGACCTTAGTTTTGTGCTTGAAGGCAGCTCTCACCTTTGACGGGAGAAGGAAAGGGCCGTTAGAGGGACTTCAGATGCTGGGGTAGCAAACAACCTCAAACATCTTTAGGCACTTGTCTGATGTGAACCCAGGACCCACAGTGCAAGGCAGAGGACACGACTGGGAAATACCAGATCCAGAGTTGGCGGTCCCCAACCTGAGCCTGCCACCAATGACAAGGCTGGCCCAGGGCAACAGTGCTCTCTGCCCTTTCAGAAATGAAAAGAAAAAAGAAACCCACTATATTGTCAAGGGTAGGGTGGACGTACCTCTGAATTCAGGAGACAATGGAAGAGGAAGATGAAAAGACCCTGGAAGGAAGGGGAGAGAAACACAGAGTTAGAGCCATTTGTGTTTTGTCACAAATGCCTTCTGAAGGGTCCTTCCTCAAACAGGCTAGAGAGTGGCATTTGTGTGGCTTATTGTGAGGGGTTTGCTGTGACCTGGACCTTAGCCTGTAGTCCATGAGGATGGAGGGACATCCCAGATCCCACCCTGAATCCTAACCCCAGCTTCAGGCCACTGCTGTGACAGAGTTCAGAGACACTGTCCTACATGGACAAGGGCACAGACACAAGTGAGTTCCCAGAAAGGTTTGGCTGAGGAAGAGGCAAACGTCTTGGGGATGGATGTCAGATGGACACGCCAAGCCTCAGTGTTCTCGTCTGTAGACCAGGGTTATGACAACAGTGATGACAGACACAAGAGTGAGGATGCCACCCAAACATCTAGGGACTGCTAACCAGGCACCAGCAAACCCTTCGCATGATAAATCTCAGTCAGTGCTGAAAGCAGCCCACCAGGAGGGTCCTGCTAGTACCTCGTTCCGTGGAGAAGGAAACTGGAGGGAACGACCAGAAGATGAATGAGAACCTAGAGTGCATAAGAGCCCAGCAGGAAAAAAATGCCACATTTCACGGTAAACCACTCAAGGAAAACCAGGCACGATGACTCACTGCAAAGAGGAAGCCTGACACCAGTTGTCACTGGCCCTATAGACACAGACTCAGCAACATGGCAGAGTGGGGACATTGTCTCCGGTGTGGCTGGTGGTCTGTGGACAGTGATGGGACACCACTCCACCTTTCTTTTGTGGGTATTTGGGACTTAGGGTCCCCCAAGTCTCTGTGCCCCTTGTCTGCCCCTCCACAAAAGACAGAACTTGGGGTAGCCATCACCACTCTCCCTGCCTGGTGCCCTCTCAGAAGCTACTGAAGAATGACTGACTTCCCTTTCAGGTTGGATGTGTCACCCACAGATGCTGGCCACAGGCACAAGGAAGCCCCACCATTAATATCTCACAATGCCACCAGCCCTGTTTCTCAGAGCCCTTGCTTGGCGCTCCTGCTGGGTGGCTCTGTCCTCAGACCTCAGAGATGCCCCATGCTGTGGACTCAATAGATAGGTGTGTGGAGGGAACAGAGGTTGGGCCCTCCCTGCTGCCCCTGTGGCAACTTGCTCCCCACACACTGCTTGCAAGAGACACTGCCCAAGTGACAGTCCCATCGGGCTCTTACCTGCAGGGAGTTGAGTATGGCAAACATGTATTGGAAGACCAGAGCCCGGTCATTGACAGCAAGAACCCCAAACACCCATGAGGTCCCCAGGATGGGAAGCAGCACGCCACAGCTTTTGCTGTCAACCTGGAAGAGAAACCTGGAAGTGATTGGGCAGGAAAAGCGGGCAGTTTAGACTGGCCTCCAGGTGCCAGGTTCTATTAAGAGTGAGACCTGGGGTCCTCTCTGCAGGTAAGCTCAGAGGAGGTATGTGACTTGTGTGACCTCCAGTGTTTTTACCTGGCCAGGATGGACACATGGGAACATCACTAACCCCGCCCCCTCAAAGCTGATGGGCAGCTGGAAAGGCACACAGGCTCACTTGGCACTGAGCATCACCACCAAGAGTCACCAAGGACACAAGGAAAAACCTATCCAGGACCAGGGACTGTGTGTGGACTGTTTACAAATCAGAAAAGGAACCAGGTGGGATGGGTGGGGTTCTTGGGGACTGGAGCAGTGGAGATCCCTTTACCATTCATAGCCCAGAACTTCTAGGGGCCATGAGAAGGCCCTGTGGCTTCTTGACATAGTCCATGAGAACTCAAGTCTGCCTGGTAATTTCTCCAGGCTTTCCTGGGCTGCAGCCATGGTGCTCCCCTGCTGACCAGCCCAAGTCCTGTGCATGCCAGCACTTCTGTAACACTGACAGCGAGCTCTCAGAGAGTGGGCACTGGCTGGCCACCTTCACAGTCTCTGGACATGGCTCATAGCAGAAACTGAACCGATGCTTGCCAACCTCCCTGCTGACTGGCAGCCCTGTCCTCTCCTGCACACTGTCCACACCAGCTTGTGTTCCTGCCTCCACAGGCACCTTGGCACAGGTGAGGCAGCATGTATATTGGCCCACCTTGCAGACAGGAAAATGGAAGCTCCCAGCTGCCAGTGGTAGTCAGGATAACACCAGCTTCATCAACGGCAGAGACAGAAGGGCACGTCAACACTTCAGGCCAGCGCCAGTGCCCCCGACTCTGCCCACTCTGTTCGTGACCCCAGGGCCACCTGATAAGCAGCTCTCAGCTCTCAGCCCTGCCCTGTGTTTCCCATGCTGGGTTTCCTCCCCTCCTGTGCTCCAGGTTGCCCTGGTCTGCCCTGCCCTGCCCTTTCCTTATTGGCTGCAGTCTCAGCCAATCAGGTGGGGCCATGTGACTCAGACCAACCAATCAGAGCAAGCCTCTGGACCACCGCTGGTCCAGGCTCCTGCCTGGGTCAGTACCTACAAAGCCATCTGGACTTCCTTCCTCTCAGGCCTTTCCAGCTGCCTCGTCTGTGGCTTTCTCGCAACTTGCTCCTTCCGCTTTGGTGGTGACTCTGGGCTCTTCCCAGTCTTCCCAGTCTCCCAGGGTTCCTCTTACTTAGAGACAGGATAGGGAGCAGGCCCAACAAGCAGCCCCCTCCCCATGAAGGGAAGGGTCTGACAGACACCGGAGGCTGAGGTGCTGAGCACCCGGATGTAAGAGACAGGCTCCCACAGGGCCAGCTCCATGCACTGCTGCTGCACTATGGCATCTGGCCTTGGCAGTCAAGCCACCCTAATCTAGTCAATGGAAAAGCCAATCCCAGGTACCGTGGAAGAGGGAGAGAGCAGGGCCAAGGAGCTGAGAGGCTCTGGAGACATGCCCAGCCTTGGGAGGCTGGAAGCATCAGCCTCAGAATGCAAGTTCCAGAGACCTGGGGTCTTTGTCCCCGCAGTGTCTGCAGAGCCCAGAACAGAGCTTGCCCAGAGTCAGGTCTCAGTGAACATCAGTGAGAGAAGGTGCCAGTGCCCGGGCTGTCCGGCTCAGGGTTGTTTTTGGTATGCCATGAAATCATGCTACATTAATGTCCAGCCTGTCCTGATTTCTGAAACAGCTGGGTTTTCCACAGCAGAGTCTCGCTACATTTGAGCTTTGGAGAAAAGCTAGGGAGCAATGAGCCCACCTCATCAACTGCCTCATGCCTCAGTTTACCCCAGACATTTGGCACAGGGTCTGAGTCAGTTTCCCTATCTAGACTACAAGGTGTGTAAAGGCTGACTTTGTCTTTTCATCTCTGGCACTTCAACATGCAGCACAGTACCAGGGCTCAAAGGCACTATGGAAAGGACCACTGATTGTCACTGAGGAGCAAACGGATGTGTGTGCTGATTGTCACTGAGGAGCAAATGGACGTGTGTACAGAAGTGGGGCACCTGGGACACAGCGTCTCCCGGGAGGCAGCGAGATGCGGCTGTAGTGACCTCCCTAGTCATAAACCCAGAATCCCAGCACCAACAGCTCCTGGCAACGGATACCCATAAACCAAGGACTGTTCCAACGTGTCGGATCTCAGGAAACTGCAGCCCTGTCCTCATAACGTTGATATCATAAAACTAAAACACCTGTCTCAGGGAAACGCCACCATGCGTTGTCTGGCTGCAGTCTTCAGATTCCGGAAAAACCGTGTTTGTTTGAAAGAAACAGTCGCTGGAAAGTGTTCTCAAATGTGTGAATCCCACAGTGACGTTTTGCTGTTTCTTGAGACTAGAACAGTAACAGAAGATCTTGGGGAGCCCGTCTAGCTGGAGCTACCTGAGAACACTTGCTAGCACAGCCAGGGCCACCAGCGTCACCTCACCAAATGAGAAGGAGGGGGCCTGGCCTGGAGGAGGCTGTGGGCAGGTGGGATGCAGCCCAGGTGTACCCCCAAGCCCGGCCTGTGATGGGGGCTCAGGCCTGGTGAGTCTCAGCCCCCATATCCACCTGCCGTGAATGCAGGGTGAGGTTCTCACCCTTGCTCCCACCCCCGGGGTCCAGGGTCTCACTTGCACACTGTGAGTGTTCTCTGCTTCTCTCTGAGAGTTTGAAATGGCCATCAATAAGCAGGGACTTTTTTTAAGTGACAGCCAGCCAGGTTATGGGTCCTAAGGCAGCATCTCGCCTTGTTGCTCACTGAGTACCCCTGCTGCAGAAGGAAAACCCCCAGGTCACACCCACAACAGGGAAATAGAAGCAGCCAGGAGTTTCCTAGGATGTCACAGCTGCTCCCTCCCCTGGCTGCTCTGCTTCACCAGCCCTGGGAGGGGAGTGGTACCCAATGACACCCACTGATGCTGCGAGGGGTGAGAACATCCCAGGGGCAGACCTGGTACTCACAGAGCCGAGTCCATGGAGAGGGGTGGGGGAATGGAGGAGGCCGTCTCCTGGGGAGGGACGCAAGGGAGGGACAGTGGGCAGAACGGGGTGGTGGGTACGCAGGTGTGCTCTGGACAGTGAGGGCTGTGGTCCTGCCGGTGCCAGGCTGGGACAGGTACAACAGCTTCTTCTAAGACAAGAGCCGGGGACAGACTGGCCGGCCTTGAACACCCAGGGGCTTTGGGGGCTGAGGGTGGAGTGAGGAAGGGACAGGGCTCTCCTGGCCTGGCCACAGTGGGCAGGGACCAGGCTGTCTCAGGGTAGCCCTGTCTCCCGCCAGTGGAAGAGGAAAGGAAGTGACTCCTGACCCGTGAGCATGTCTCCTCCCTGGGCACAGCCTGGAAGGTTCCAGGGTCTGAAAAAGCCCCAGAGAGCCGCAGTCACTTGTCAGGTTAATTTACAGTGTTTGGACTTGTTACGGAATAATTATCTCATCGATTTGCTGCTGGCTTGTTTATCGCCTTTGCTTTCCCATCAGAAAAGATATACTGTAGCCAAAGTCACTCCCAGAGTATCAGCAGTCTAATGGCCATGGCCTGTTTTTAGAAAAGCCCCCACATTTCCTGTGGAGGCTGTTTCTGCCACCTTCAGCCCTGAGTCTGGGGTACTGAAGGCACCCCAGGACCAGAGAGGATCGTGAGACTTGGGCCATAAGGTCTGCAGATGTATCACTCCCCGTTGGGTTCAGGGAGGGCCTGAGGCTGGCCGGAGCCCTGTGGTCCCCAGTAGATGCAGGGTGGCCTGCACAGGAGGACAGGGACTCTTCCAGTGGACTGAATGCCAGCTGCAGCCATTCTGTCACCAGGAGGGCGGCGTGAATCTGATTGCAACCATGTGAAGGAGGAAAGGCACACAGGAGGAACTGTATCCTGAAGACAGTGTCACTGTAAAGGCCAGGATCTAAGCTGGGGACCTCAAGGTCACCTATGTGTACAAACCCCTTCCACCTAAGCTGACTGGGGTGGGGTTTTCTGGCACTTGCCTTCGGCAGACCCTAACAGTACACACCAGGAGTCAGAGGTTGTGTACAGGGACACTCCTGAGGGCCTCCCAGAGACTCCTCTTTCTCCAGAAGGCCGACCCTGTGCACATCAGGAGATTGTACCATCCTTCACCCAGCAGCCCCATGAGCAGGTATGCTGTCCCCATTCCGTGGTGAGCCTGGACCACTCAGTCCCTGTGGGGTCCAGCAGAAGCTGGGGCTTCCTGGCTGGCCTCTCCCTTGCCCCTGCTGCCCCTCACCTGCTCGACCCCACTCTTCTCACATGGGCCCATGCTGGCTTAGGGCTTTGTTGTGGGAATGAATGTAGAGCAAAGAAAGGCTGTGAATCAGAGCAGCCTGTGACATCACAAGGACGCTGAGCCAGTCAGTTGGTGATGGCCACGGGAAGCCAGAGTGGCTGCCCCTTCCGTGGTCTCTGAGCAGCCCCAGTGGAACCAACTTATGTGGACAGTGAAGTCAACTTACTTGAAGGCGCTGGGGTCCCCATGTGTCTTGTAGTTGTCAGCGCTGATCTGGGAAATGACTCTGGTCACAGCGATGAGAATGCAAATGTTCACCTGCCCGGGACAAGCAACAGGAGATAGGTGGTGAGTGAGGAGTCCACCCTGCAGCTGCAGGATGCCCAAGGCCTCCTAGGCCAGGCAACGCTACTGGGACAGATTCAACCCAGGTCCCAGCATGAACAACACACAACCCTGTCTCCGTGAGCCCATGTGCTGCAGAAGACAGGTGACAGAGACAGGTTCTCATTCCGGGAATGCCCAGTGCAGGAGGAAGGATCAGATAAGCCAGCTCAGAGCTTGTCTCGCACTGGTTCACTCTGTGTGACCCTGGCAATCTACCTGGGTCCCTTGGGGCAGTGCAGACTGATCAGGGAAAGGTGAGAAATCCTACTTGCCAGGGACCTAACCTGTGCCTGGTTCCCACGTCCTGCTCCACAGCTGTGTGATGCTTAGGAGCCCCACAAGTAGGCCTCATCTCTGCCCAGTGCCCCTCCTGGGTGGGGACTTGCTGGGTAGCTCTCCTTGGGACTTCAGGGTCCCTGGAAGAGGCTCTAGCACAATCTGTCTCTTGTGTGGGCAACTCTCTGGGGTCCTGAATAGGAGGTGCAAGGCAAGGGGCAGCAAAGTTAAGGAGAAAGCCCCCCAAAATCTCTGCTATGGGGGCCACAGCTTGGTGTGGGGCTGGGTTGGGGCCAGAGGTCTCAACCCTTGAGTTTGAGAGGTTGCAAGGTCACAGACACAATCGTAAGAACAATTTCAAGCCTTAGCAAGGGCAGAGATTCCTCCTGGCAGGCCTCACAGGAGGCTGCTGGCCCATGCAGCTAGGTGCGCCGCAGAGCGGGGGTCCCAGGAAAGTCCCCCCCACGCACACTAGCCATGTATTTCCCTGCTTGCATGTGCCGCACCAGCACAGGCAGCTGTATTCCTGGCCTTCCTGAGACTCCTCTGCCACGACTGCCTTATCAGGATGCTTCTTCCTGTCTGACTCAGGGCCCAGTGTTTTTCCACGCCAGCCCCCCACCCCCCTTCTCCTGGCTCCCACAAATCAGCAGTCTTTTGTTGAGAACGCTCTGAAGCAGACAATTCCCAGGCTGCACCGAGGCGACCTTCACCGACTGCTCCTGGGGGGAATTCGAGTCCGTGGGTGCCCACTCCTTGTCCTGTCTAGCCTCTTGCTTATCCTAGGCAGGAAGTGAACAAAGGTTTAACTGTCACCTTGCCTTGGTGCCCTGTCTTCCCTGGCTGGCTCGGGCACTCCCCCACTCATCTTCCTACTGTCACACTCACCTTATTTGCCCTTACTTCATCATCTGTACAATGAGGATAATAACAGAAGTCTCCCAAGGCCGAGGCTGGGGAGGATGAAAGATGTTAACACATTTAGCCACCCAGCACGGGGTCACACAAAAACTCCCAGTAACGCGCTGCCCTTCAACCTGCCCCACAGCTGACTGTCACAATGACAGGAAAGCCACATTGGACCTAATCAAGGCGGGGCAGTGGGAGTGACATGTTACTGGCTTTCAAGCATAGTTTCATTCCACCCAGCTGGACAGGGACAAAAAGGAGTACAAGCAACATATAGTCTATTGCTTCAAGGAGTAGAGACGTCATCCCACAGGCGGCCACTGAAGCCTGAGGATAGCTAGCTCTCTTTAATCAGGGTGCTGCTATGACGGGCTGCCATGTCACAGAGGGCAGGGTGGAGAGGGAACAGCTCCAGGTCAAAGGCCACAGACCCTGCTGTCCTCAGTGAGATTCCGTAGTTTTTCTTGGGGAAATAAATGCTTTCTGGTTTGTACACCTTTGGCTAAGTTTCAGAATTCTGAATTTTTTAAAAAGCAATTTTTCTAACTGTTCCCTTGTTTGGGGGAGATTTGCCTAGGGCCTCATGCTGCCTTTCTGCAAGTCCTGCTCCTGTTCACTTGGAATTATATCTTGGATAACTCACACTGATAAAATCTGGAACTGTCTTTGCATCGACAGAAATTCCAGACAACCCAAATATATACCTACAGACTTCAGGTTGGGGTTTTCTGTGCACATCTGCACCGTGGGACACTGTGGGGTGACACAGATGAGGCTGCTCTTCCTACACCACAAACCAGAAGCCTGTGTGCCCTGGGAGAGGCAGGTCTGCAAAAACCCCAGGCTGGGGTTGCCTCCGGGGAGCAACAGAAAACAGGGTACTGAGAAACAGGTTGACAGAGACTTCACAGCTTAAGAATGCGTTGTAGACTGGCGGAGTGGCTCAAGTGGTAGAGCGCCTGCCTGGCAAGCATGAGGCCCTGAGTTCAAACCCAGCACCAGAAAAGAAAAAATCCACTGTGTTTCAAGCTGGGTGCTGGTGGCTCATGCTTGTAATCCTAGATACTTGGAAGGCTGGGATTGGGAGGATCATAGTTTGAGGCCATCTTGGGCAAGTAGTTCACGAGGCCCCATCTCCAGAAAGAGCAAAATGGACTGGAGGTGTGGCTTAAGTTGTAGCGCCCCTGCTTTGCAAGTGCAAAGTCCTGAGTTCAAAATACCATTACTGCCAAAAAAAAAAAAAAAACCTACAAAATCGAAAGAATGTGTTTCACATATCCTTAACCTTTTCTTTTAAATTTTTGAACCATGTGTGTTATAAATTCAAAAATCAAATTACTTGGGCATGGCTCAAGTGGTAGAGCACCTGCCTAACAATCGTGAGACCCTGAGTTCAAAGCCCAGTGCTGCCCAAAATTCAATTACCCAACTAAAATTTAATTTTAAACAAGTACAAATTGAAAGGAAGATAACTTGCCACCCATTTCCTGTGCACATCTGAACAGCGTCCTTGGGGATTTAACCAGGCAGTATTCTAGTGACTCAGGGATGGGAACAAAGACACCAGAAATCCAAGGACTGGGGGAGAGATGGCTGGCTGTTGTGGGGAGAGGCTCAGGGCGTCATCCTCACTTCTGAGCACTATACAATCAATTTTGCCCCGGACTTCTCAGATGTAAAGATGAAGGATACACAGGCCACTATTCCCAAACTTCTGAGATACCGAAAGAATGATAAACTTGGGGCAAAGCGTTTCGCAGACATAAAAATGCTGCCAGGGATTAATTCTAGACGCCGGGCCACTTGTCATTTCTCGGCTGCTCTATTTAAGAGCCACACGGTGTCTCAGAGCAGTGAATTGCTCCTGTTGTGAGCTCTTCCCATTCATCACTGTTCCTCTTTCTGCAGAGATTTCCTTGGGTTTTATTTTTCTTTCTCTCTCCTCCCCAACCCCGCCCCTCTCAGCCTGGATCCGTCTGGTTTCAGTTACAGGCATAGGTCCTCCACCGAGTCAGGACAGTCCTGTCGGTGGTAACATCAGAACAGGAGTGGCAGTTTCCCCATGGTCTTCCGGTGCAGCTAACTGGGAACCAGAATTCTGAGACTTCATGGAAATACTAGCCGAGCAGGTCTGGCCCCTTCACCCCATCCTCACCCTGGGCTGCACCTGGCATGTGGTGTGTCCATGTCTAATAGAATCATAAAGGCCTTGGGGTGGGGCTGTGTGATATGACTCTCAATTAGCATCCCCTATTAGAAAGCCACAAGCTGCTGATGGCAGGCATCAGAGAAATAGCTCACGGGCTGCATTTCAGAAGAAATAGGTAGCCAAATCGCAAAGCAGAACACAGATGGTGATTACCAATAAGGACAACATGCTCAGCGTCACCTGGGACCTTGTGAAAAAAACCACTGGAATACGTACCAGAATTTCACCAGGAAAAGGCTTATACACACAGTGTCTGCAATAGCATGCATCTGTGTCTGTATCTCCTTATCTGCGTCCGTGGATCTGTGGCTCTGCACCTCTGTTCCTGTATCTGTGTACATGAGCTGTGCTTCTGTCTATGTCTGGCTCTCTGTGTCCGCGTCTCCCTGAGTCTGTTTCTGCAACTCAGAAACTTACACTGTATCTGTGTGCTTCTATGTTCCCGTCTACATCTGTATCTGTAATCGCATTTATGTATCCATGTAGCTGGGTCTATGTTTCTGTCTATGTTGATCTCTCTCTCTTTCTCTCTCTCCCTCTCTCTCAGTCTATATATAAGAGTGTAACTGTAGCTAGTATCTGTGCCTATGTGTCTGTAGCTACCTGTGCCTTTATACCTGTGTGTCTGCACCTCTGTGCAGACATATCCCTGTCTGTGGGTCTTTATCTCTGTCCATACGTATCCATATCTGTATTTACATCTGTACCTGTGAACTGCAGCTGTTTCTCTGAGTCTACACTTCTGTGCGCCTGTGTATCTGTATCTGTGTATTTGTGTATCCATCTGTACCTGTGTCTATGAGTCTATGCATCTCCTGACCTCTCCTCAAGGGAGCGTCACAGAGATCCCTCTCTTCCCCAGACCTGGAGACACTGTCCCTCCTCTCCTAGGTGGGGCTGGCACAGAACAAGCCACAGTAGGGCACAGACCGAGGTGCCCTTGCAATCGGAGGCCTCCCCTGCTCTGAGGATAGAGGGTGTCCACGCTCTGCAGCATTGGTTGAATGAGGTGCCGTGGGCTGGACTGAACCCCTTCTACGTTAAGGCCCTGCTCCCAAAAACCTCAGAATGTGACTGGGTTTGGAGGTGGGCTCTTCACAGAGGTGGCGATACTAAAATGAGGTGGGAGCTGTTACTGGAGGGGCTCTATTCTACCCTGTCCTCGGCAGAAGGCCCACAATGGCCCTTTACTGTCCTCCAAATTCCTGCCCCTTCAGGAAGGACCTCATCAGGCATAGGGAAGTCACACGTCCCAATGTGAGTATACCACTTCCTAAAATGGCTTTAATTTAAAATTACACAGTCAACATGGGGCGTTTTTAGGCGTTTATGGTGCTGAAGCCTGCATTCCCCAAGCCCACACCTCCCCCCACCCCTACATTTTCTTGTCCATTACGCACTCACATCAGAACGCACGCCCACAGAGAGCTTTTACCCAAATGGGGTCAGGCCACGCTTGACATCCCGAGACCTGCTTTCTTCATTTGGAAGAAAGGCAGAGGACTCCTGGGTAAAGTAGGACATGACTCGGGAGGGCACAAGCCACTCTGTCCTCTGAAGAGACGGAGGCACAACGTGCTACCCCGTCCCCACCTATGAGCCAGCACGAAGCACCGGAGACTGACATGCTTGCTCCACGAAGGACCACGTATTTTCAGCCTTGCAGACCACACTCTGCTGCAGTGGGTTCTGGGGCTGCAGTCTGAGAGCAGCTGTGCACAGACTGTACCTCAGAGGATGTGGCTGTGGGCCAGGAAATCCCGCCCTCTAAGGCAGGCGTGGCCGCTGGGTGTGGTTGGCTGACCTTGCCCTTGACCATGGGATTACTTAAGGCTGCCTGCCCTGCACTTTCAGCAGCTGGAGTGACCTGGACCATTTTAAAGACCATGACATCCAGGTCACTGAACCCCACACCTCTGGAGGTGAAATTCAAGTAGGGGTATCTTTAAGTCTCCCTGGGCACGTCAGTTTCATTAAATGTTTGACGACTTCTGTCTTTGAGGGTTGGTAGTGACGGACGTGGTGGGGGCGGGGGGTTGTGTCCCCTCAAGAGTGACAATCAGAACTCCATGAGGCAGTGAGACACAGGGATGTGGGGTTCCTGACTCTGGGACAGGCGGTGGAGAAGGATTCAGGCTGAGTTGCCTCAGAACCCAGCCCAGTGAATGCAGGGGGACGGTGGGAGTCACACGCATGGGCTGACACCACCCCAGTCTCTCCATCTCACACAGCAGCAGTGACGATGGCAGCCGTGATGACCTCCCTCATCTCTGTCCCTTTGGAAACCCTTCAGACAAGAAGACTGTGGCACTTGTGTGGTGCAAGGGGCACCAGAACAGAATTTCAACGAAGAAGGATAAACCAAGCCTTTCAGTGTCTCCCTCGGAGTCATTCCGAATTAACCATCAGGGCCACAGCCTCAGTCAGTGCCACCAAATGGGGACAGTCACGTGAGCAGGGGAAACGATAGTTGGGTAAAGAAGCAGGAGAGGTGACAGAAAACAGGCTCGTGACATTTGTGGAGTACATGTGTGGAGGGAAAGGATAGGAGATAGATCTCAGATGCCATCCAACATACTCCTCTCTCGAACGTTCCCAGATGGCCTTCATGTGGGGAGGCATAAAGTTTGGTGTTGCCATCAGGGCTGGGAGGACAGAGCATAGCTGCTAGCAGGGCGGGCGAGGGTACACCCCATTGGGGAGGTGATGAATGGGAACACTGAATGCATCAATCAGCCTTGGTTTCCTGAGCCTGACCCTCTTCGGAGGATCAAAGGGCAAAGGACAGGACTTCCATGAACCCCAGGCTGGGATTCTGGCACCCGCGGACCCCTCAAGAGTTTATCATGGAAAGGCTAGGGAGGCTGTTCTCAGGGACTCTCCCTCTTCCCTGAGTTTAGAGTCACTGGGGAGTGGGTCTGGTACCCCTGCACAGTGTGTAAGGGACGCTTGGGTCAAGGGACAGCACAGAGAAACCCCTGCCCTCTCACCTCTGAGACCCCCAGCTCAGAAGTCCCAGGTCCCAGTGACTACAAAATATGTGTGTGGGATGGCGCAGGGGGAGGAAGTGGACAACACCAGCTCTACAATGAGGGCACCTGGACAGCAGGCGGAGTGGACAAGGACACCAGCCCCACCACAAAGGACATTCAGGTCCAACGAGTGACCCCCCCAGAGCCCTACAATCTGCTCTGGACTAGCCCCAGGCAGGTCTGAGGAGGACGGTCGGAAGGCCACTCTGTGCCCTGGGGCCCCTTTGTTTGGAATCCCATGTGCGCAGAGATGTGAACTTGGCGACCCTGGAGTACAGACTGTGCTACAAACACCTTCCCTCACAGCAAGCGCAGCAAGCCGCCAGCCCGAGGCCCAGCCGGGACAGGCAGAGGGGGCAGCAGCACGGGGCAGCACTCCTCATTCCGCCCCGCTCCGTCCTCGTGAAACACGGTGCCGTCAGCACAGTCTAAATGTTTGCCTCCTCCCAGACGCATGCCGAGATTTAATCGTCACTCTGTCCACCTGGGTGGGATCGTGGCTGCTATAAAAGGGGTGGTCGGCCCCTTCTGCCGTGTGATAGCACAGCACAAAGGCGCCTTGACCTTGGGCTTTCCACAATTGTGAGGAAATGAGTTTCTGCTCATTATAAATGACCTGGTCTCTGTACCTCGCTGTCCTGTAGCAGCAGAAAACAGACTGACGCGCCATTGCCTCAGGCCAGTGAGACAGGCAGGTGGTGAAGAGGCACCCCGTCCCCTCATCTTCGGGAGGAAGAGGCTCTCTGACCGTCAGCCTCGGTTCTCCCAGTGTCACCCGGGCCCGTGTGCAAGGACCTCATAACCTGCCCCGGATAACCACAGGGATCGGCGGGAAACGCCTTGGTCAGCGCCAGTTCAACACGACGAGGCTCCCATGGGGCTCAGTGCGCCCCTCTCTCCCGTGCTGTCCAGTGCGACGCCAGCCCAGACCCAAAGTGACCTCCCCCTCAAAGGACCAACTTGTGGATTGCCAGGAGGTCACCACCCCTCACCCCGCAGGGCTCCAGCTGCAGCCTCTACACTGCATTTCAGATCTGGCCCTGAGGCTGAGCCCTTGGTGGTCCTGAACAGAACAAGTAAGGTCACTCCGGCAATGATACACATTGTCGCACAGGTCTCCACCCGCCATCTTACACAAGCCTAAGAGATGTGATGCCTTCCTGACAAGGGCACACTGCCCTTCCCTGCTATCAGAGGCCAGATCTTCTCGGGGAGCTGCCTCCCCCACATCAGTCCACCAGGACCCCCAACTCTAATTCCGGGATTACAGTTGTGCCCATATAGGGTCAACCAGAGCATTCTGCCTCTCTGGCCATGGGGATGCTGACCAATTAGAACATCCCTGTCCTCTGGCCACGGTGAGGGCTCACCAATCACAGCACCCCTTTCCTATGGCCTCAGTCAGGGCTGGCCAATCAGAGCATGCCTCTCCTCCAGCCTCAGTGAGGGGTCCATGATGGGCCATCAGAATGGATGGAAGTCAATCCCAAGAATTGTGGGAAATGTCAGTACAACAGCGACAGCTTCAGCAAGACAAACCCTCCCATGGCAGTTGTCACTAGAATTCTCTGCAGGCCCGGCTGCCCTCCAGCCGGAGGATGGGGCCTGGGAGCAGAGGGCCCAGGCACACAGGGCAGACCCCCTGCTCCGGAGCCTGTCCTGGCGAAGCTCTTGCTGGCATCGCTGACACTTTTGAACAGAGGAATCCTGTTGGTGGCCTTTGGGGCGGTGCTACTATTGTAAGAGACGCTCAGACCGCTTTTGCTGAAAAGCACTGCTCCTTACTTGGGCCCATGAATTAACTAAAATGGAGGCATCCCTGCCTCCATTTTGTATCTGCCTTTGCTCTAAGCCACTCTCTTTACAGTCGGTTTGCAATCACTTTGGATTCCAGAAAGGACAGGACTGATAATGTCTTTATGACAAGGGACTGAAACTTCCCAGAACTGGACCAGACCACTGACCAAAACTGCTCCACCCAGCTAGACCACACCTGTGACTGGACTGTTTAACTATGCACACCTTTGTCCCCTGTCCCTATAGGTTTACTTAAACCTATAGCTCATGCCTGTACCCCAAAGATGGCTGAGGATGGGCTGAGTGATTTTGCCCCTTCCCACGGCATGTCCTGAGCTGTGTAATAAACCTCCTTTCTCTGCTTTCAACGGGCCTCTTTTTTTTTTTGTGGTACTGGGGCTTGAACTCAGGGCCTTCACCTTGAGCCACTCCACCAGCCCTTTTTTATGCTGGTACTTTCGAGACAGGGTCTCGTGAACTGTTTGCCCAGGTGGCTTTGAACCTCGATCCTCCTGATCTCTGCCTCCTGAGTAGCTGGGGTTACAGGGGTGAGGCACTGATGCCTGGCTCACCGGGCCTCTTTATTTGGCGTTTAGGGGCAGGTGGCATGTGGAATCTCAGGAGTTTGGGTCCTGGCTCCAAAGCTCTCATTTCACTATTAACCCCCTTTACCCCACGACCTGGGGGGCTAGGGCTCGTGGAGAGGGGGAGGAGCGCCTGTGCCTCTGCGCTAAGCCCATGCACCCCGAGAGCCTCTGTGGGCCCACTCCAGACTCGACCCTCCAGACACTGTGGGAAACCAGGCGCAGAGTCATCACCCTCCAAGAGCAGCTGTAAGGACAAAGGACTGGTGCCAGTGTGGCACTGCACCCCTGGGACATGTCCCAGGGAACCCAGAACCATCGGCATAACCCCGCCCTCATCCCACCCACTCTGGGCCCCTGGGGACTTACCACAATGACCAGTAGGGCAGGGCCCACGAAGGCCCAGATGGCGCCACTCCCCAGCGACAGCCAGCAGCTGTGGAAAGAAGCAGAGTGTTTACTTCAGCAGCCTGACCTACCACCCTGGGTGTGGCCCCTCCATCCAGGGTGGTCCTCATCTATGCTCCCCAGGACACTGTCACAACAGCAGAGCCTCCAGCTGAGAGAAAAGCTTCATCAGACCATCATTCTTCCTCCTCATAAATCCTTTCTGCCCTTGACGGGTTCATGTCTCGTGGACAGGATTTCCCAGAATTACAGACGGGTCAGCAACCTCCAAAATGTCTGGCCAAAACCAGAGTTGGTTTTCATTCCCGTACCAAAAGAAGCACAGGCTCCGCCTGGAACAGCATCCTTGCAAGCATGTACAACACTGAGCAGCAGGTGCCATTGATGGGGAGTCAGAAAATGGACTGGCCATGGTGTGATGAGGCACTGATCCTGCCCATCTGCCTGGGGGCTGCCAGTCAGAGCCCCCAACCCAAAAGAAAGGTGCAGCTAATCTGGGCACTTGCTGTAGCATCCTGGGATGTGGGGTCCTCCTGGCCACTGAGATATGGCAAGATAGCCGGTTCCCTTATGGTTCACGTTCTACCAGACTTTGGGGCACTGTCCAGAGCCCAGGGCTTCAAGCATGTGTCATCTTTCTGACTCCTGCACACTAGGCCTCCTTCCTCCTTCTGACTCAGCCACGGTCCCACCAGCAGCAGTGGCAAGATGGTGACATGGGTCTTGGGCCACAGTTTCCCTCCCTTTTAACCAAGCAAGGGATCCTAAGTCCACATTCACTCATACATTTGTGTATTCACTCAGCTGTAACTTATTGGGCACTTCCTGCATACTGGGCACCTAATGACCAGTCCTGGTGGCTAGATCAGTGCGCCTGAGCAGACCAGATGGATGAAAAATTTCCAATCAGAAATTCTGCCAGACACGGCTGCACATCTAGGGCACTGTGAAGCCCACATTGCTAATGCCAGGGATACAGCTGGAGTTGTTTCTCCCTGGCCTTTCTCACTGCCAGGGCTTGGGGTACCACACCCAGACGCACATGGACAGACAAGGGCTGTGGCCCTGGGACACCTCCCAGTGCCCTTCCCCATGGAAGGCCTGCAAACACGGCTCTCTGAGTGACGGGCTCACTTACTTGTTGACTCTCCCGTAGCTATCCATGGCTGATGACATGGAGACAATGCAGATGAGGAGGGGGACCCCTGTGGAGAGGCAGAGGGTGTCAGTCTCCAGTCTGTTCAGGCCATTCATTCATTTCATACCTCATGTCTGAGAACCATGGCTAACAGAAGAGCCCCTGGGTCAAGGAGCTTAGTCTAGACCAGAGATCACACACGTTCGCTCACACTCAGTCACCCATGTTCTGGATGAGGATATGCCAGCACCTGTGTCATGGGGAGGGCTTGGGTGAGGCACAGCCAGCCCTGCAGTGACAGGAAGGGAAGCCCAGTGTGGTCTGCTTGGACCATGGTTCTCAGTCAGGCCAAGGTGGCCTTCTACAGAGCCCACGTGCCAATGACTGAGGGCGTTTTTGTGCCATGAGCATCTGGTAGGTAGAGGTCAGGGATTCTGCAGCCTCACGGTGAGAATTACCCAGCCAGCGCCAATGGAGGTAGTCACTCCACAGCTACAGGGGGCGGGGAAGATGCTGGAGGGCCAGGCTGCACTGCCCCGTCCACAGTGCACACGCTGCCGTGTTTGAACCTGTGAGTCCTCGGGTAGCCGTCCTGCTCTGTCATCCATGGGTCCCAGGGGCTGGCTCCTTCCTGGCTCTAGAGGCATGTGACCCAAGTCTAACTAACTGGAACGTCAATCCCGCTGGCCACAGCTGGACGGGCATGTGACCTGGATGGATCAACAAGATTCAGGGACTTCCTTTGGGATTGCCAAGGAAGAAGGCTCTTGCTTCACCTGCCTCCTGGGGAAGATGAAGATGTCAGGGTTAGAGGAGAGTCCATACAGCCATCTTGGCACCGTGGTGGGCAGGATAGAAAACCAGGGACATGGAGAGTGAAGAAATCAAGGAAAGCCAAGCTTGACTGTGTTGTGTAAGCTCCAGAATCAAGCCGTACCTGACCTCCATCACCCTGGACCTATTCTGTCACACGGTTTGTTGAATTCCCTTTCTGCTTAAGCCAGTTTGAGTCAGATTTCTGATATAAAACTGGGGGTGGCTATCTAAACGTATTTAATCAGAGCTGTGAGAGACTTCTGGGGAGGGGGTGGTAGAAGGGAGGCCTAAGAACAAGGTGGAAAAGCCTCTGGAGCAGCAGTTGCCAGAGCTTCCGTCTTACTGAGAAGAAAGGGTTCTGGAGTCAAACTGCTTTTGGAGACTCTGGCCTGACCTACAGTGAGCTGGCTTTTAATTTCACCTTGAAGCTCCACAGAGGATTTAAACGTGAGTGCAGCTATGAATCTACAAAAGGAAGCTGAATCGCCCTACTCCCCAAGCCTGGCCATCCCTGGGATCTGTGTTGAAAACTGGCCATCCATTTCCACCCACACACCTGAACTTGGAAGCAGATCCTTCATGAATCTAATTTGTTTTGCAAACCACACATTTCTGGACACTCAGAAAGCACAGCATCTGCGTCTGGTGTCCCCAGCCCTTCTGTGGGGGCCGAGGCAGAGAGACAGGAGAGGAACAGACCTTCCTCCGCCACCCTCCCCCCACCCCCCGCCACCCCGAGTCTCCCCCAAAGAAGGTGTTCAAGAGAAGTGCTCCTTGAGGCAAAACCCACATTTCTCAGATTCCTGGACTAACGACAGGCTGGAAGCACATTGGGAACATGTGGCTCTTGGTGCTGGTGGTGGCGGGGAGGGCGGTTTAGCCCCGGGGGAGACAGGAAGGCAGGTTGTCCCCCCCAGCACCTCCACACTGCAGCTCTCCAGCGCCCCTTGGAGGCGGAGGGCTGCACATCAGGAACTGGGGATTTGTTTTGAAATTAATTACCTTGGGAAGAAGTCTCCCAGACAGTCTTGCCTCTGAAACTCTTTGCAAAAGTGTTTACGCGGTTGACAAATATCAAAATAGTTTAAATGCATTGGAGAACGTCTGGGTGTAAAGTCAGACACATAGCACACTGGAGGGGCAGCCAGGCCCAGGGAGCCGCCCTGTCACTGTCACTCTCTGGCTTCCCTGTGCAGTGCCCCCTGACTCAGGGCAGCCACCTCTTCGTGGGCTCCATGACGGGAGTACAATGTGTGTCTTCAGGGAGAATGTACCATGAGGTGTTAAGCAGGACAGACAGCAGAGACCTGGGAGGCTCCTGTGGAAATCACCGGGGCCACCTGCCCCACACGTGCAAAGGCTGCATACTTGGGATGTGTGCACTCCTGACCCTTGGGGCTCTTGGGAAACCCCGACCCCCCCCAGACTCCTTCTGAACAATGACTGCGAGCAGAAGAGCCTCACCTGGGCTAGGCGTTTAATTTCTAGAAATGGCTCCAGGCTTGACTTCTCCGTCACCCTGGGCTCTGACCTCCACCACCCCTGGCTCATTGCACACATGTCTTGTAAACAGGAAGTGAACACTTGGCATTTCCCACAGATGACAGTGGGAAGCTGCCTGATACCGCAGGGTGATCAGCCAGCCCCGAGTGAGACAGTCCCCGCCATCGTGGCGCTAAGCAATCGCCTGGAATGAAAACACAGCTTCAGAGAAGGGCGGGCCTGGAGCTACCTGCAGGCGAGCGTGGACTCACGAAAGAAATTAAGTTGCAATAGAAAAAAAAATAAAACAAGTGATGTTTCTTCTCCTCTGAAGCCGGTGATCCGATCCCTCTCAGCTGCATCGCGGTGCAAACTGCCACCTGTTGTCCCTTACCTTATCTCCCCGGGGACAGACTCTGTTCCACCCATCTCCACGTCCCTCATGGTCCCCCCACACAGGGCCTGGCTGCCCATAACCCTCAAGGAGCGGTTGACTTCTCACCTGACCTCCACCTCAGCTTCTGAACTGTGTGGGATTGCCTGAGGGTGAAGCCAGAGGGGTGGAGGCTCATCTCCAATGAGGCCTGCAGTGTGGCCTCATTGCTCGGGTCAGCCTCCAGCCCCTTCTCAATTAATGGCTGAGGTCGAGAGAGCTCTGCTGCCTGCACACTGTCTTTACTTAGGCCCAACGCCAAGCCAGCCCAGCTGGGATGAAGGACGCCATTCGTGGGCTCCTGATGAAATTAATTAAGAGAAAGCTGACAGGAAGATGGATGGAGGCTGCGGGGCTGACAGCACTGCCAGGCACTCTGTTTGCAGAGAGCTTGTGCAGGACACAGACCTACAGGGACCACAGGTGTCCATGTCGGGAGCCTCACAGCTCCAGCTAAGCTGTGAAGCTGGGGTGCCTGGTCCCCCTCGGTTTTCACCACTTGAGCCACTCCACCAGCTGTCCTCATTTTCCAAAAGAGCTTTGCAATTTTAAATAATGTCCTTGGTTTTTAAAATACTGGCATATAACTCATTTTTCTCCATGTGCAGATCAAATCAAACATCCATCCAATATCTCTCTCTCTCTCTCTCACACGCACACGCACACAGACACACACACACACACACATTAAAGAGGAGCACAGACAACTCCACTCACAGCCCCCTCTCTCACTAGTGACACCTTTACACAGACCCCCTAAACTGCATGCCAGTATCCAGATAGACCAGTGAGCCACAGGTGGCATGCTATATCCTCTCCTAAATCCTTCCCAAGTGAGGACAGAGGTCACTGGAGGGGGCAGCCCCGCTTCTGGGGAGCCAGAGGTCTAAGGGACAGTTGCACTGGGCTCCCTGAGTTGGTGGATGGCAGTAGATATCCAGCCCTGTGTCCAGTGTGTGTGGAATCGCCTGTGACGATCCAGCACGAGCAGGTCAGGGATGTAAGTGCAGGACTCCTGCGATGGCAGGGTGTCCCCACATGGCCACAGCTGTCAGGAGGTGGCCGTCCCTGTCCCTTGCTCCAGTCTCCTCAGGAGAGAAGTATAATTTGCTTCCACCTCATCTCAAATCAATTATATTCGATAACTCAAACCACAAAATAAACATGTCTAGTCTACCTCTTGCATAATGAAGGCTGTGAAAATTAAACCTATTTGGAGCAAACCAGAAGTGGGCATGTCCGGCTGATGTTGTATAACAATCGCAAGAATGCCAGGTGCCAACCTGCAGCAAAACACTGTGGTGGAAACGGGGCCCACTATGCCGGCTGGGACCCCCAGGGTGGGCAAGAGTAAATCCAACCAGAGCCACGTCCATGGGAGAGGCCTTCCAGACCCAGGGCCTGGGACGCCACACAGACCCACACCCAGTGCAACAACCAGAACTGACAGACGACTTTAAACCAACTTTCAAAGTTTCTGTAAGCTTTCCTAGGGGGCACAGCAAGTCTTATGAGAATGGGGAGGGTCAGGTGGCTTGAACAACACTTGCTTCCCTGCCCAGCTCTGTGTGAGGGCAGCTTCACCACCCCACCATGGGCTCCTCTGGCCCAGTTCTGGCCCAGGCCTGCAGGTCTCATCCCAGCTCTGGGCACCAGAGCTCTACTCCGGGAGGAGCAGCTGGTGGCTGGGCTCCCCTCCCTCCTTCGACTCCAGCTCACGGTGCATGGTCTACACAGGTGTAGCTGGCAGAGCTAGCTGGGCCTTCCTGCCCCACCTCAGGTGCTCACAGGGCAGAGATGAGGTCTGGGGTCCGAGGCCACCCTGACACTAAGGCTGCACCCCGGGGGGCCGTGACAGACTCACACTGAGGAAAGCAGACTTAACTAAGTCGTCCAAATCACAAAACAATAAACCAGCAAACAAGAAGCCATGAAGGGGGGGAGGGTTTCAGGATTCAGAGTCACCACAGTACCTCATCTAAAACAGTGAGTCTTCAAAAAAAAATGAGATATGCACAGAAAGCAGGAAGTGTGGCCCATACACTGGGAGAAGCAGACACTGCCTGCCAGAGGCTGGAGTGTCAGACTTCATGGGCGACGTCAGCGTGGCCACTACAATATGTTTGAGGAACTGAGTGGAATCTCCCTGCCGAGACCAAAGGGGTGCATGATGACAGCGCCCTGTCAGGCAGAGAGTTCCAACTGGGAGATGGAGTCTTTAAAAAAAGAAAAAGTGGAAACTCTGGATTTGAAAAGTACAACAGATGAAATGAAAAATCCACTGGAGGGGCCAAGAAGAGACGAACAGCAGAGGAAGAGTGGACTCGAGAATGGACTGACAGAGACCACATGGGATGAAGGACAGAGAGGGAATGAAGCAATTCGTACTCCCCAGAGAAATGTGACGCCATTAACACACCAACACAGTGACACTCCACATACAGACACATAGGCACCACAGACACACGCACACAGAGCCACAGACGCACAAACTCATAGACACACACGTGCACCCACAGTCAAACATATAGATACACAGAGAAACATCCATATCTACATATAGACACAACACACAGAGACAGACACACATAGACACAATGCACCCATAGACAAACACATGGATACACAGAGAAACAGACAAATCCACATACAGACACACAGAGACTCAGACACACACAGACGCAAAGACACACACACATAGGCACACATGCACAAAAGGACAGACACACAGAGACACACAAACACATAGACACACACACAAACAGACACATCCACATATAGACACAGATACAGACACAAACACACATACACATACAGACAGACAGACACACACACACATAACACCAATAAAGAAAATCATGGAATAGATGAGGCAGTCTAAATGCATGTTCTCTTTTCTCTCGATTGAGTATAAAATGGTATTTACATAGTTGTATTATCAGGCTTATAACAAAAAGAAATAAGTTCCCCACTAACAGTGCAAAGGAGGTGGGGAGCAAAGCTTTATTGCAGCACGGTAAAAACGCCAGATGGTAACTCAGATTTGCAGAGAACCACGACGAGATTTATCACCAGAGTGATAAATAAGAAGGTTAATACACCGCACTGTAAATGTGACCTCGTCTCCTCACTTCAGCTTCCTCAGGAGACGTAAGATTGAGTAAAGTGATAGTTACGAGGACGCACCGTTGAGCTGCACCATACATGGGTTTAATGGGTGTAACAATCATGGTGGAAAGGGGAATGGTCGCTACGTAAGAGCGACCTTCCTAATGTCTCTTTGCAGGCTAGCATGCATGTGAAATAGGTTTTAATAGGTTAAGATGCATAGAGTAGGCACTACAGCAACCACTAAGAAAATAGCAAAAGCCATGTTGAAAAATTCATTAAGGGAATTAAAGTGTTACCGCAGACAATATTCACTTAATTTAGAAGGAGGCAGTAAAGGAGGAATAGAGCAACAAAACAGATCTGAGAAAACAACAGCTGTAAATACCTAAATCAAAATATTAAGTGCAAAAGGACTAAACAATTCAATCAAAGGCAGAAATTGTCAGACTAGACCAAAAAGACCCAAAATACCAAGACCCAACTATAACCTGCCTGTAAGAGACAGTTTAGATCCAAAGATTCCAATAAGTAGAAATTGAAAGGATGAAAAGATAAACCCTGCTAACCTCAAGCCAGGCAGACTTCAAGATGAGGAAGGGTACTGGAGGTGGGGAGATTCCTTAAAGCCATGGAGCCGACTCATCATGGAGACACAAATGTCAACATACGTGCACCCAACAACAGGACCACAGAAGACACGAGACAAACAGCAACTGTCCGGAGAAACACACACCTCAACACCTCACTTTCAGTAATGGACAGACAACTGGACAAAAAAGACCAATGGGAAACAGAGGGCTTGGCCATCACAGAGGAAAATGCACACCCTATCTGCCTGTATTCGAAAGGAAGACTGTCAATCTGATCATTTACACTTTCACCTTAATTAAAACAGAGGAAGAGAAGACCAAAGCTAACGCAAGCAGAAGGAAGGAGATAATGAAGATTAAGACAGAAATTAATACATAGATAATAAGGAAACAATAAAGTCAGTAAAACCAAAGGTATGTTTTTTGAAAAAAAAAATCACCAAATTGACCAATCAAGTCAGGAGTGTTGGAAGTGTTTCCAAATGAAGTGGAATGTTTGCTTTTGATTGACCAATGGGGTTCTCATTCTCCCCAGAAGGCACCAGGAAGGATGATCGAATGAAAGCAGGCCTGGCGCTCCCCCCATCCACCTACCCCAGCCTATCTCCACCACACCGTAGGGGTTCTACCTATTCAACCATCCAACTCCAACCCACCCCAACCCATCTCCACTAAGTCCCACGGATCCCACCTACCCAACCATCAGACTCCAGCCCTTCCCACCCACTGTATCCCCATCTCCATCAAGTTCCATGGATCCCCCACTTACCCAACCCACCAAGCCCCACGTCTCACCTACCCCATCCGATCCCATAGTAGAAGAGATGCTTGCTGTCCTCTGACCCGAAGACCTTGATCACCATGCTGTAGAGATGCAGCCCCTCCACCAGCATCCATGCAAAGGCACTCAGGAAGAAGTAGTGCAGGAGTGTGGCGAGCACCTGGCAGGGGACCTGTGACCCAAGCAGAGATACGGGATGAGACACCTTCTCTCCTGGGTGTGCGGCAGGCTGTGCTGTTGTGTTGGCCACCCGGCATGAGTTTCCTGGGCAACGTCTGGTCATGTGCTTCACTTTCTTCCTGGCGCGTCAGGGTTCCCATTTGTCAGTCCAAGTAGATTGGCTGTATCCTGTCACTCAGGGTCAGCAACTGCCAACCCCTGCCCCTCCCAGCACAGCAAGGGTTCAGGAACCGAAGGGGACATTGTAAACCACCACCCCTGTTTCTCCTGCAGAACCACAGCCTGGCTGCTGAGGGCTGATCAGGACTCAGAGCTAAAGATACCTCGCAGGAGAAGGGGTCGCCTGGTGATGTCAGAGGGAGGCATCAGGGAGGGAGGGAGGGAGGGAGGGAAGGAGGGAGGACAAGGACCTGGGCCTACTCACCGTGCCCGGCTGCATGCGGAAGCTGATGAGCAGGAGGACCTGGGCCACCAGGACAGCAAAGGAGAGATTGGCATGGATGTGGTAACGCTGGTTCCTGATGGTGCTGACAGAACTGAGGGCAGGGAGTAGAACATGAAGCCCAGAGGCCGAGTGCCCACTCAGCCTCCACTGCTTGGTCCCCAAGAGGGGTTCCATGTCCCCACAGTGGCCCCCAAGCCCATTCCTCCAAGAGCAGCCAGAGGACTCCTTACAGAACCCAACCCAATGCTGTCACTCCCTGCTTGGCCCTTCAGTGGCTCCCTACTGCTCTCAGAAAGGATCCCAGCTCCCTTCACAGCCCGAACAGCCAGAGTAGCGTGATCCCTGCCTGACACTCCACTGGCCCTTTCCTTTCCTACTCATTCTGCCCTCTTCTGTTTCTCTCACCCTAGTCCCAGGGCCTTTGCACCTGCCATTCTTCAACCTTCTCCTGGCAGATGATTCAGATCCCAGATATAGATAGACTTTTCTGACCGCCTGCTCTAGGTCGCTCACCTGCACAGGTGCTGTTATGCATGGTGTGATTGCCGTGTGAAATGTTTATGCTTTGGTTCCTTGGTTACCGACAGGGTCCCCCACACCCCATCTATTTGTGTCTGTCTTGTCACAGTCAGGTCCTCAAAGCCTGTTTCATGAGACAGTCAAGGAATTTCTGTCTGTCTTTGCCTGTCTTGGAATCCACAGAACTCTTCACGTGACTGGGCCTGGGGTCCAGACTTTTTTTTGGCGGTACTGGGTATTGAACTTGGGGCCTCATACTTGCTAGGCAGGTGCTCTACCACTTGAGCCACTCTGCCAGTCCCTTTGTGTGTGTGTGGTGTGTGTTTGTGTGTGTGTGTGTTTGTGATGGGCTTTTCTGAGAAATATTTGCCCAGGCTGGCTTCAAACCTTGATCCTCCTGATCTTTGCAGCCAGAGCCCACATGTTCAGACCCCGAGCAAAGCCAGGATGTGCCCATGGGAGGTCCAGCTGTCAAACCCCCCCACTACACAGAGGAGAGAGGGTGACTCACGACAGCACAGCAAAGGTGACCAGCGTGGCGGCCAGGCAGAGCACGGACAGCGAGCAGCCGATGTAACTGATGGACGACAGCGCCACCTGGTGTCCGTGCGGGAGCTGTGAGGGCAGAGAGGGGTGTGGGTGGCAGGCCAGTGCCCCCAGCCTGAGGCCGGGCGAGTCTCAGGCAGATGCCCAGCCGAGCCCTGCCATAAATCAGATGCTGAGCACCAGGTCCTGCCTTCCACCCCAACGTCTGCTGTTGTCACCAGCAGAGGGTCAGTCCCATGGCTGGGACATCGTTCTTGGCATTTCGGAGGCTCCAAGTGGCTTTACCAACTGCCCAGATCCCTCCATCCCCTACCCAGGGCTGCCTGACTGTCCCAGAGTTTGCTGTGACCCCTGCCGGGGGCAGGGAGCGCCAGCACCCGCTCTGATTCCCACTTTATGAGCCCTTGAGAACTTCTTCCTCATATGTCACCTCCACCTGTCACCTGATGCAGGTTGTTTCCTGTCACCTTTCAGACAAAAGGTAGCGTAAACAAAGACACCACCACACACCCAACAGTATAACCCAAAGGTGCCCAGGGAACAGGAAGGGGGGACTTTTGGGGGAGAAGTGTGTCCCGGCTCTGAGGGAGAATGGCCACCATCAGGAGAAAGTAGACCTGCCATGCCGCTTCTGGATAAAACCTTTCTTTCCTTCCTTCTGCATCTCCTATCCAACACCTCCACACTCCTCCAGCCCAGTGGCCATGCCCAGAAGGTCATGGCCATGCTTGCTGGACTTCCTGACAGGGGATGTGCCGTCTCCTGCAAATAGGCATTAGCCCTCATGGGTGGCCTCCTCCCTGGGACTGTGGGGTCTCAGGCAGAGACCACGTGTCCATGCCAAATCCTAGAGTCCAGCTCGGTGTGGGGGCAGCACGCAGGGCGTGGGACGCTCAGGGTAGCAGGAGCCTCTGCCCAGGAGGAGGGTGTTCTTCATGTTCAACCGTAGGCATATGGACAGGATGACCAGAGCAGTGGGAGTTCTGGGCAGTCAGTTCCCGGAGACCAGCTGGATCCCCGGTGTCTGACCAAGGAGCCAGTGAACTCCAGGTGCTCAATAAAAGGACCCCAGTCTAGGGCAGTGGAACATGCACAAGAGAGTGGACAGTGAAGGCGGGAAGCAGCGACTCCCTTTATTGGGCGCCTGCTGCATGCAGATCTTGAATCCTCAGAGCTAGTCTGCAAGGAGGCATCATGGCTCTCACTTACAGGTGAGTAAACTGAGGCAGCATCTGCAAATGCCTAGCACCGTACAGCTAGGGAGATAGGCTAGTTAATGGGCCAGATATGGTGGCCACGCCTGTAATCCAGCGCTCAGGAAGATGAGGCAGGAGGGTTGAGAGTTCAAGGCCAGCCTGGGCTATATAGCAAGAGCCTGTCTGAAAAAAAGAACAGTGAGTGAATGAATAAGGTCGCCAGCTTCGTGCTTCGATGAGGCTATAAAGGGAATGCACAGGACGTGAGATGGAGGAAGAGAAGGGCAAGGTGGGCATGGCCACCCTTGCACAGCCATAGGTCATTTAGGGTCTTTCCCTCCCCTGGGAGTCCCAGGACCAGGTCCTGCTGGATCCTCTGCCAACCCACACCGCACACATCCCACTTCCTCTCTGCCCGGTTCCCAGAGCCTCTGTCTTAATCTCCTCTTGGCCTGGATCTCTTTGCTGGTCTCCCCGGCAGCCATCGTCCATGGACACCTCCCCTCCCACACTCAGCAGAGAGGCCTTGTTGCATGTCACCTGGGGTCTGTCCCCAGGGGTGCCTGGGGCTCTCAGAATAGAACTCACATTCCTCCCAGGCCTCTGAGGCCCAGAGGGATCCAGACTTGCTTACAGGTCTCCACGCCCTCCCCTCATCACAGGAAACTGACGGCAACGTTTAGAGCGGGGCTTTGGATTGCAAACTGATGACAGAGGTTTGGGAAGCTTTGGTAGAGCAAAGAGAAGACAGAGCAGCACCGGGGGTGGTGTCAGCAGGGAGGATGGGGAGGAGATGGCCGGCTAAGGGGACCACAGGCAGCAGCTGGGACCAGACAGGCTGCCCCAGTGAGGCTGGGCTCAATGCCAGAGCTGCACAGCAGGAGCTGGGACCACAGAGGGACAGAGTGGTCCCGACACACAGGAAAGGTCGTCACTTCCTCCCACACCTCAGCGTCCATCTCGCACTGGCTGGGCTTGGCAGGAAGCCAGGTGTCCAGGGACCCTGAGCACAGAGCACAGGTGATGCTGAGGGAGAGGACGGTCAGAGAGCAGACCAACGCTGCCCATCAATGCTCCAGGGTCAGCCCGCTCCTGTCCTGCCAGGCTGCTTCAGGGCCCGACACCCAACCCCTCTTGGCAAGATTCCCTCCCTCCTGCTTTCTTAGCACTGGAATCTGGTTCTGGCTGCTGGCTGGTTTCTCTCTACGTAGCCCTCCGACACACTCCTGCCCTTGACCTGGACAGGGCAGGTCAAGGTTCCTGGGCAGCGCTGACTTCGTGACCCTGTTCCTCCCCAGCTGTAGTGTCTACTGGTGGCAGGCTGAGTACAGACTGCCGGGCATTTCATGTCCTGTAATGGCAATAGATCGGCAGTTTGGAGACAGGTGAAAATAAGTCACCCAGCTGCTGGGGGACACTGTGTCTCTCTCTCTCGTGGCTAGCCAGGCATCAGCGACTTGTCCTCAAACTCAGTTGCCTCACTGCAGGGGCAATGAGGAGTCCAAAGATGGAGCCACTCCATCCCTTTGTCTCCCACCAGGAGTGGGTTTTCTCCATCATGTCAGCCGCCCAGCTGCAGTCAGTCTAGGAGCTGAGAGCACACACCACCCCGCTCAGGACCTGCATCCAAAGGATGGGAAGGCCTTAGCCTCAGCAGGGCTGATGAACTGACTAGCTGGGGGGCCCCCTCCCCAGCTGAGGGACAGAGATCAAGTCCCCAAGTTCCCCTGGATGGGACAGTGATCCAGCATGAAGTAGAGCCTCAACAGAGATGTAGCTGTAGCCCTGAACTCCACACCTGTAGCACAAGGAGTGGAGCCATCAGCCTCTTCCACCATCCCCAGCCCTGGCCAGCAGGGACCAGGGACCCACCAGCAGTCCATCAGCGGTCAGCCTGAGTGCACAGCCAGGCGGGGGCAGGGTGGATCTGAGAGCCAAAGGTCCAGACATGACTTGGGTGCTCAGGATGCCTCCTAGCCGAGAGGCAACAGTCTCATGGCACTGGCAGAAGCAGAGATTACAGGGCAGGTGCAACCACTTTGTGCTGGGAGGCCCCACCTGAAGCTCCCCACCACACCCCACCCCACCCCACCCTCTCTGCTGCCTGGAAGTATGGCTAAGGCAGCTTTAAACAGCTACAAGAGTTTAAAATCGCACGCTGTTCAGCCCCGCAGGCCCGCTGGGGGACCTACCCTGCGGCACTCACAAAGGGAGGGGACGATGTGTGTACATGCATGGATGACCCTGTATTTGGTGGCTGGAGACACCACCACCATGGAGACGCTGAGTCCCGGGGAGCCATGTGAACAAAGCAGGTCTATGCACACAGAGACAGAACAATTTCCAAGAAACGTGGGTACGTTTTTAAGAAGGGAGCAATCTTCGCCCTTTGTTCAGAGAACAAAGAGGGGCTGCCGGCTCCAAGGGCAGGTCTAAAATGACAGAAAATCTAGTGCCTTGTGAGAGTGGCTGCGTCCCGGCTGGGGCACAGGACGGGTGGGCTCAGGGGCTGGATTTCACTCTGCCTCTGCGTGTTGGACGATTTCCCCCACATGGCTATCTTTACAAAACCCCCAAAGAATTCCTCCACTTCCAGTTCCATCTGTGTCATCAGCTCCTGCGTGCCCTGGTGCTCCTGACACGGGAGGGTGGTGGCTTCTCAAAGGTGGCCCACTGTCCCTGTCTGTCCCTGTCTGGCTTCCGCAGCAAGGCGTAAGAAATTTATCACCCCTTGACCCATGGCCCCTTCAACCCTCACCTCAGCCTTCCAGCCAGAGCCACACACCCTGCTGATGTCCAGCCCCTGGCCCTCCAGGATGGGGTCACTGCTGCCCAGCTCAGCCTGTCCCTGAGCCTGACCACCAGGCCCCCTCCAGCCCCACAGAGGAGACTTCGATTCTGAGGGCAGCCCCCTCCCAAAACGGGATAATCTCTACAGGCTGCCAACAGCTTCCGTCTGCAGAGGGTTCCAGCTTCCCCACGGCTCCAGAGAAGATACTTCATCCTGAAGATTCTGGAAGAAACCAGAATCAGCTGCTCTGCTCGTCCTCCAACAGCTGCAGCCTTTGTGTGGTGGGAGGAGGGGAGGACGGAATATCCAGCAGGAAGAGCTGGTGTGGAGCCACCCAGGCTGGGGGCCAAGGGCTGAGCTTCTAAGGGCACCTAGCAGCCTCCCCTCCTGGAAATGGTTCACACAATAACCTCTGGTCTCCCCTCCTCAGCCCTTGTCCTGACATCTCAGTTGGGACCTCTCTAGAGCCTGGGGATGGAGGGGACCTTTTCCCAAGGCTTTCCAATACCCCACCCTGAAGAAAAAGCCCAGGGGATGGAGGGAGACTGTGAGGGGCAAGACAGAGGCTATGGAGGTAGGAGGAACCATGGGCACAGGCGGGGGAAGGCAGCAAGAGGAGCAAGAGGAGAAGCTGTGAGGGCAGGAGGGAAGGGGGGTCTCTTCTGAGCCCCTCCATCCTCCATGGGTTCCTTCATCCCCATCAACAGGTGAGAGACCACCCTGCCCGGTAGCAGGTCCTGTAGCCCCAGGACTCCAGCACCCTTGCATGGCCACGAACCCTGATGTTTTAACACGGGAGGTCTGTAGTCCCGAGAGAGCGTCAGGCTTGCTTTACCCCACCTCACTCCCTTCTCCAGGCTGACACAGGTCCCCACTCTGTGTCAGCCACACAGCGCAGGGCCAGGTGTTCAGGCTGAGTGCTCAGAGCTAGGTTCTCAAGGATGGGGCTGGGTACTTGGGCTGAGTGGTACCCACTCCTCTCTGATCCCCACTACAGCAAGGCCCCACCCACGCTGTGGACAGGGAGGCTGAGGCTCAGCTGGCCTCTGCCACATGCACTCGGCAGCACACACTGGGGGGAGCAGGAGATAAGGCAGCCAGTGTCTGCAGATAGGAGAGGGGCTGCGGCTGACCCCATCTCCAGGTCAGGCACTCTGCAGGTCACGTGACTGGCACACATGTGAGAGCTCCATAGACACAGCCTGTTTTCAGATGGCCAGTTGTACACTCCACCAGCCTCAGGGAGACGCCACACGACCCTCCCTGTGCTCCACCCTGGGACCACAAAAGGTGACTCACAGAAGGCTCTCACCAGCCCTAGCACCGCCTTTCTACCAGGCCTGCGTCCAGGCCACCCACCTGCCCCAATCCAGAACTGCCTGGGTGTCTCAGGACTGCAGACCACTGAGCTTCAGCTCAGGTGGCCTCTGCCACCTAAGGTCCAGGGTGCAGACGGGGTCCTGATTATCTGAGGACCTCTGATGGCAATCGTCACAGCACACACGGTTTCTGCGTCAGGAAGGGGTGGCATGCCCTGACTGTGCCCTTCCTTTCCAACCCGCCGCCAGATTTAGAAATGCCTAGAAAAGCCTGGGGTTTGCTTTGGGACATGGATGGCTCTGAGTCAGAGACCACAAACTCAGATGACTCCAGAGGCTCACGGGATGAGTTCAGGAGGCCGGCTGGAGTTCGCCTCAGATGAGACTGCTCTGTCCAAAGCACGTCTTATCATCCTTTCTTTAACCAAAGCCCCTCTAGGTAGACATGTTTTCCCTCTCCAGACAAGAGCAAGACACATGCTACTGTTCTCCAGCACACGCTCAACATGGGTGGCAGCTGGCGATGACATGGTTCAGGCGATCGAGAGGTGGGTGTGGCACACTGGGCCCGTGCCCCCGCAGGGGCAGCATCTGTGAATCCAGCCCTTGTTTCCAGTAAGGAGCAGAAGCTCGGAGAGGCCAGTCTTCTGGGTTTTTGAAAACCAGAAATCCAAAGTTTTAGATAATATATCTGGTTTTGAAATACTGACAACCATTTTTTTTTTTCCAAATGGAAACCTCTATGGGCTGAATGAAACCTGTCCACTGGCCAAAGTTGGCCTTCAGACCAGAGTTCGTGGATATCCTAGGATGGCTCTTCCCTGGCCTGTGGGGCCAGGCCTCTCGAAGGGCTTCCCGGATAGCACTCTCTGACATCCTAGCCCAGGGCTCCTGTACTCGCACTGGGCTGTGACCACCTGGCTCCCTGGAAGCTGCAGGAGGAGCCCAGGGCAATAAACAGTGAAGGACTGCACCTTGGGGAGAACTAAAGCACGCTGTGCTGGCCTCTGGGCTCTGCTGGCTCGGGGCCTTGCGTGCCCACCACATTCTCCATGGGTGCCTGCCTCCCCCTTTTGTCCACATGAGGAATTTCCCACCCCAGCATGGGGACTTTGGGTGGCAACACAGGACAAAGGCAGGTGGGCTGAGTTCCCTGGCGTGGGCCCAGTGGCTTCCAATTGTCACATCCCTCCCACCAGCAGCCTCTGGATCCCGATGGTCCCCATTCTTCACAGCCTTCCCATAGCTCCTTCCCTAAGTTGACTGTAGTGGTAGTGCTGTTTTGTACGAGGGCACTGGGTGGCACACACCTGAGCCCTTCCTCTGGACCTTGGAGGGGCCAGCCCACAGCAGCAGCCACAGACAGTGTCCCTGGGTCCTTGACCCTACACCCCTGCTGGCCAGTCCTTAGCAAGACAAAAACTCCAGCTCCCACCTGTGCACCTCTGCTGTGTTATGGACGGGAGTCAGACCCACTGGGCATGTGTAGGGGTAGCCTGTTCAACAAGGAGCCCGGACCACTCTTTGTGGCCTCCTGAGTCATCAACTGAGGTCTCCTGGACCCTTCCCCTGGGGTATTCTGAATCATCACCCTGGGGTCTCCTGCATGTTTGTTCTGGGGTTTCCTGAACCTTCACCATGGGGTGTCACAGACTGTCACCCTGGAGTTTCCTGAATCAACCCCCTGGGACCTGCCCCCTGGACAGCAGCCCAGGAACACTGCTCCTAGCCACAGCCCACCCATCTAAGACACCACTCAGGTGCCCCCCTTTGTCTACCAGGATTGCACAGAGAGCTCAGCTCAGTCAGGACGCAAAAGACTCCTCCAGAAATGAGTCCCAGGAAAGCAACCGGTGAGAAGCAGAGCCAGGAGAGAGCCTTAGAGAGAGAGAGAGAGAGAGAGAGAGAGAGAGAGAGAGAGAGAGAGGTGACGTGATGGGCCGAGAGTCCAGAGGACAGACCTGGGCCACAAACTCACAGGCCCAGAGGACAAGATCAGAGCTCTGAGGAAGAAGCAGACCCGGCGTCAAGGTAATGAGGTCATTTATACTGCTTTGTGAGTTCTATAAATGTGCCTCAGATTCCGTATCACTTATGAAATCAGCTTTAATTTCTTTAAACGTTCGTGAGAACGTTCATTTTTGGCAGGGATAATTTTAAACCATTTTCAATCAACTTTTTCTGGCAATGAATAGATGTGATCCACTCCCACGATGACACCCACAGACTGTCTAAATCCAGTGTCACCAATACTGAGTGGTGACAGAGTTATAATCAGAAATGCTTCTGGAATCCCGTTTTTTATTGTTTTTACTTTGTGGATTGCTCCTCCACTCCCACCAACCAGGGTCACAGAGAAGGTGACCCAGAGAATGGAGGACCCAGAGGAAAGGACTCTGACCTGAGGGATGTCCCCAACACCCCTGCCTGTGACGGCTACCATGACAGTCCCTCCTTCCCACATGAAAGTGAAGGAAGCCCAAGCCCCTGGGACACAGCCCACTACCCACTGTACCTTCATTGTAGGTGATTGGTGGCCAAACTGGGTTCCCAGGCAGTGTTCAACAAAAGGCTCATTGTGGCCAGTGACCCTTGTGCCCACTTGCAGGGCTGCCCATTCAAGAAGGCGCCCTCCAAAGACAATAGCCACCAGCTAGAACACCTGCTGTGCTGGCTCTTGACTGGCAGTTGCTGAAGGCTGTAGCTCATTCCCACTGTCCCAGGGCAGCTCACACACTTCCCACTGACCTCGCTTCCTGGAGAGTGACCTCTCTCTTCATGTCCCCTCCAGCTTCCCTAACCAAGGTGGGGTTTTCATGTGCTTGTGAGCTCCCCAACTCACCCTTCAAATTTGGTAACAATGGATCTGGCTATTTCTCAAGTCATGGATAGAACTTTGTAGACCGGGCCCCTCAGTTCAGCAGGACCTGGCGACCACCAGGAAGGAAGACACTGCTCCTGCCCATGTTTTCCCAGTCCCCAGGGGCTTACCTCCAGAGGGACCACCTGCATGAGTATGGCAAAGTTGGTGAGGTGTGTACAACGGCAGACAGAGTAGGTGAGGTTTCCCTCCACGAGCGCACAGCCCTGGCTTGACCAGACGCCTTCCCCGGAGCTGAGGACACAGCAGACATGATCAGAGGAAGTGGCACTGAGCCTTGGCCAGGGCCAGAGAGATCTGCACCCCTCAACTCCACAGACCCACAAACTCATTAAACAGAACAGCCCCGCAGCAGGTTCTCCCCGTTGGGCTAGCAGAACTGGGCAGTGCTGGTGTTGATGAAGTCAGAAGGCCTCCACTGGAACAGGGAGGGGAAGAGCTGCCCTGGCACCACCATTCTGGAAAGCCCCCAACCACACCCAGCATGGAGGAAGTGTGTGTGGCCACAGCCCAGCTCAGGTGACACTGAATGCTTTGTACATGGCTGAGTACACGTGGCAAATCATGAGTGATTTGAGAAGATACGTTACGGGAGCTTAAGTGTCCATCTGGGGATAACATAAATAAAATGCAGTATATAGAAGTGTGACAAAAACAGATAAGTGAAATGTGGTATATAGAAATATGAAACTATAAATAAAATCCAGTATACATCTATGATAAAAACAGATAAAATGCAGTATACATAAATATGGTTTAAAAAGATAAAATGTGGTCTATACAAATATGACAAAATGATAAGATGCAGAATCTATAAATAAACACAGCTTATATAAATATGAAAAACTGGCAGCAGTTAAAAAGAACATCGCTAACCTATGTGTTCAGGTAAAACACTGTGCGTAACATCACACTCTTCCTGTGATGCAAATATAAATTATTGAAAAGGAATGGAGACGTGAATCAAGTGGTAGAGAACTTGCTTTGCAAATGTGAAATTCTGAGTTCAAACTCCAGTCCCACCAACAAGACAAAAAGAAAAAAGCATAAATTACTGAGGAAACTCCTGATCATTGCTACCTCCAGACAGAGAGGGGAAGGGGTCTGGATTAGATGTGAAGGTCGAGAGAGAAATTTGCTTTGTTTTAGTTTCCGATTGGCATACGACTTGTGTAGTTTTTTCAAGTAGAAACCTAGACACGAGTGACTTCAAGCAAACAAGTTTTGCTGGTGACAGACACAGTGAGAAATCGTCAATTTTGGTTTCCTTGTCTGCACTTCTCCGTATTTTCAAATTCCAAAAAGGTGTCTGAAATGATTCTCCCCAGAAGTGCAGCACTGAGCAATCAGCAAAGACACATCTTTGCTTCAGCCACAGGCAGGAGCCCCTGGCAGAGGTGTTCATAAAAATGAGATAGAACGGCTCTGGGTTGTCTTTGCTTTGTATTCAGTTGTAACTACGATGTCACCGTAGATGAAGCGGAAAACACGTGGCCATCCAGGTGGGGTAGCCTACAACCTCTGTCCTCTACCCCCCCAGCCACTTCCCCCATGGATGGGGGAGTTTTATATCCCAAGGAGGTTTGTGATCACTGCAATTGTCACCCTGCCCTAGCAGGACCTGAGAGGGTGGGAAGGTCATTCCAAGGGCAATCAGAGGTGGGCATTGAGACTGGACAAGGGACAGCAGTTTTCATAATTAATAAGCCCCTCTCCTGGGGAGGCAGGAGGCACCAACAGAGCAATGCTGAGCCCCACCCACCAATGACTTCAGGGGAAGGGTACTGAAGAGAGGTGGTGTGCCCCTGCCCCATTCCACTTTGGGTCTAATTTTCCCAGGCCCCGGAGAGGACTCATCGCACATGCTGCAGTGCGCTACACAGCTCCTGCGTCTCCTACTCAATGCTCAAATGCCACGCTTGGATTTGAGGTGAGCAGAGAATTAGCTGGCCTTGAAGGAGATGGGACATGGTTCTGTTCAGACAAAAGGTGCACTGGGAACCGTGACAGTCCCATTCCCAAGCAGCTAAGGTGCAACACTGCCTTAGTTAGCCAGGGAGCTGAGCCCTGAGTGGCATCTCCTCGTGTGTGGGGGAGAGTGACAATTCACTTCCCCAGCGAAGACAGGTCCCTGGCTGTGCAGAAAGAAACCAGCATAGAAGTCAGCGGAGCTACGTCAGATAGCGTTAAAAGTGTGCAGAGCCCTGTGACCTGGGAGGTCTGCATCCAGGCAGGAAAACGGCCACTCAGAGGCATAAATAAAAAGTGATAAGGAAATGCAACAACAGAAACACGTACCAACAAAGCAGAACAAAACCAAAACGAGGCAAGAAATGTCAACTGAACAATACCAATTATTTCCTATGAGCATAAACGCAAGTGATAAGCAAGTTTTTTGAGAAAGACACACTCAAAAACTGCCTCCAGTGGCCACCACCAGGAGAGAGGGGAGGGGAGCAGATCAGAATAAGATGTAAGGGACAAAGGGGACAGTGACTTTTTTTTTTAAATAAGGTTTTTTTTTTTTTTTAAAGAATGATGTATTGAGGTATTTGTTGCATAATTTCTTAGAGGATAAGTCTAGAAAAAAAGTGGTCCAGAATTCTAAGCCCAGTGAAACAATAACTGGATTTATTTTCTCGCCCTACAAGAAAGGTCAAAGAACTATGACACCGGGCCGAAATGGGGAGCCTCACATAAAATAGCTGGAAATGGGGTTTGCGGAGGTACACGTGCCATTGTCCTGGTCTCATTTTGAACTGCTCTACCAGATAACTGACTGTCTACGGCACAGAGTACCAGCAACGCCATGGTGCGTGTGTGGCAGCTGTGAAGATACAACTGGCGTCAACAGCAGCACCAGGAGTGGCAGGAGGAGCTGCACAAACGCCATTGTAACAGTGCGGAATGCACGGGAGGTGGTGCAGTGAGAATCGAAGGCAGACGCCATGCATCAAACACGCTCTAAGCTGAGGGAAACAAAACTAAGAAAGACGTAGAGATTAAGTCAATAGCGAGGGCCGACGGGCGGAGTGGCTCAAGTGGGCGGAGCACCTGCCTAGCAAGCGTGAGGCCCTGAGTTCAAATCCCAGGACCGCCAAAAAAAAAAAAATCAATAGTGAAATAAAATACCACCGTAAAGGAGGCCCTCCCAAATCCAAACGAAGTCAGGAAAAGAAAAGACAAGAAGTAAAGATGGTACAATTAGAAAAACACCTAGCAACCACCTGGATAATTATGTTAAATATAAATTGTCTCAACGCACCAATTAAAAACAAAAATTTTAAGATTGCATTAAAAAAAGAAGACCTCACCAATTCAAGTATAAATAAATAAATGGGATAAAAAAAAAAAAAACCAATGTGGGTGAAGACGCCCTGTCACAGGAAGGGAAGGCAGCAACACCAGTCACAAAAGCCAGAGCAGCCGGGTCTCAACGACAGGAAACAACGTGAGAATCTGACACATCTCCCGGGACGTCACACAGAGATAAAGGTTGATTTTCCAAGACCTAACAGCCCGAAGTGCATGCGCTCCTGGCTACAGACCTTCAAGACACGTTGAAGAAAAACTCGTAAAACTGAGGGAGGAAGCGAGAGCTCCGTCTCGTCAGCCAGAGTCCGCACTGCTCCTTCTTGGGGTGAGTGGTGTCTCGCTGGGTTTTTGTACATCTCCTTTTGGGAACTGTCTGCTTAGGTCTCTTGCCCTCACCAGGCTATTTGGGGTTTTTTGCTCTTGGGTTTGTTTGAGTTCAGTTACGGTATTCTAGACATGAACCTCAACTCTGAACATGAAACGCTAAAATTCTGACTTCTCGGCTAACGGAACCCATTCCCTAAGCCCTTCTCCCCGGCGCCCCTCCCTCAGGACCCTCCTGATGAGGACAATTAGCATCCTCCATCTGCCCACGTGGTGCCTCTCATGAGCTGGTCTTGAGGTCACCTGGACTTCACAAGACCTTGTCCTGAAAACTCCACACCAACGGCCAGTTGCATCCCGGAGGGGTCCTACTTGCATCCTGAGTGTTTCCGGGACCTGCGATCGTGCAACAAGAGTGCTGACTTCTAAACGGGTGACCTGGCTCCTACCCTGGACGGTGTGTGACTGGCCTGGCCTGACGCCTCGTGTCATCTGGCACCACATCCTTCTCTGGTCTCCCCCACTGCCCTCTCTCCCCTCTTCCCGTCCTCCCTCCACTTTGGAGCCTCCCACACCTACCTGAAGTCCAGGAAGGCACAGTACAGGAAGAAGCGGTTACTGTCATTGGTGGCATCAATGTACTGCTTATGAGTCTGAAATGACAGAAAATGGACGTGCCTTATGATGAGGCCACTGACATTCTACCTCAACTGATCCCTGTCGTGGTCAGAGAGGACCATGTCACAGCTCCATCTCACACCACTCTCTCCCCTGCCCACACCAGCCCACAGCCAGCACTCCCCACCCCAGGGCCTTTGCACCTCCCTATAGAATGCTCTTCCATCACAGGGCTCCCTCCTTCCTGTCAGGCCTCGCCTCAAGCAACGCCACCCTGTCTTCCCTGTCCCCATTCCTCTCATTCATTTCTCATAGAATTGGTCACCACGTGGCGAGTCCCATATTTATTGCTGTCTTCCCCAGTGAGGACAGAGCCCCTGTCTGTGTCCTGCCTGCCTGTGTCTCAGTGCCTGGAGTGTCTGGCACACAGCAGGCGCTTACTGAATATTTGCTGTGTGAATGGACACAGGAAGGAGTAAGCGACAGATGGAGGGCTCACCTTGTTTGGGGGCTCTTGTCCCCTCCTCGACCTCTGTGGAGGTCAGCTCTGGTGGTCTACGGCAGTGCCTTGGCCCTGACAAGATGCTGGCAACTGAGGGACTGCGGCCAGGAGCCAGTGAAACCCAACTCCATGGAGGAGCCAGGACCCCTCGCGGGTGGTCTGGCTGCTGGGGTACGTGGCCTGGCGTCTGGTTCGTTCCCGATCGAGCCGGGCACCTCTTACTTAGCTGCCTGGCATCAACTCCATTCTCTGCGTCACTGCTCAGCGAGGCCCTCTCCACCTTGTAGGGACACTGGGAGCCACTTCTCATGTGGTCACAGCATGGGGGGCTTTGCTGGCTTCCACTCTTCTAACCTGGTGGCAGCCGGAAGTGCCCACAGGAGGACAGACGGGTGCCTACAGCAGGTGGCTCTGAACCCACTGCATAGCCAGAGGCCCGTCCACACCTCCTTTAATCCAGAGGTGTGTGGTAATTCCTCCTGTCCCATGGCCTGTTCATTTTTCCATAGCATCAACGCTGTTAAAGGAACTTGTCATCACTGTCCATAAGTCTGTAGCTATACCCCCCCCCACCTCCAGAACAAAGCGCCACAGCACAGGGACCCTGTCTGTCCCCTCTGCACCCAGCACAAGTGGCATGCACAGCAATCCTCACTGCATCAACTACCGTGGAAATGCAAGTTCACGGGCAGACAGAAGCACGGCAGAGAGCGTAGGAGTCAGAAAGAAGAGGGCTGCAGAGGATGCAGGATGGGGAAGGAGGAGAGCTGTGTCCTCCCCAGCACACGCTGCTTCCAGAGAAAGCAGCCCAGTGCTCAGGAAAATGGGTGCCACTGACGCGCAGACCCCCCTGAGAAACTGGGGGCCCGAGCCATGCAACCTCAGGCTCCAGACAGTCAACGGGAACCTCAAGGGTCAAGTCTTCCTTGACCATGCGGTTTTCCCGGCTGTGGCCAATGTGCGGGACCCCACTTGAATGTCACCTTGGGGAACCACCTGGTGCCTCTGAGACAGAAAAAGTGACCCACCTCTGCCCAGGGGTATTGGACTAAGAATAGAGCACTGTCAAATCCTGGTAACTCACTGTTAACGCTAGTGACAGGCCTCATCCCAGGCACCCTTTGATGCTTATTTTTCCTCTAAACAGGCTAACACACTGGGGCCTGGGTGATTGACTCTGATTGACAGCTGTCACACCTTCCCTGGTGCCAGCTGCCTTGAGCACAGGACTGTCCGTCTCACAGCCGGCTGGACGGTCCTCATGGCAGCCCTGCTGCTCTGAACACTCCATGGACGTCTGAGGAAGCTGCACGGCCACCACAGCTGCTGGCTGCTGAGGCCCAGCTCTGGCTCCCGAAGGCCCCGTCCAGCCATGACTGGCACACAGCTTGTGCCAGACGTTTTGTCATCCCAGCCTCGGGGAGCTCTGGAGGACCTGCAGCCATTTCCACCCAGGCCAGAGGGGGCGCCCCTCCCCTGGTGGACCAGAGGAAGGAAGGGCTGTGATTGGTGCCAACATGGCCCTTCATTTGCATGAAGTTCTGCTCTGACTGGTGCAAACACAGTCCTTCATTGTATGAAGGTCTGCTGTGATTGGTGCAAATACAGTCCTTCATTTGCATAAGGGACTGCTGTGACTGGTGCAAACACAGTCCTTCATTTGCATGAAGATCTGCTGTGATTGGTGCAAACATGGCCCTTCATTTGCATGAAGGTCTGCTGTGATTGGTGCAAACACAGTCCTTCAGTGTATGAAGGTCTGCTGTGATTGGTGCAAACACAGTCCTTCATTGTATGAAGGTCTGCTGTGATTGGTGCACCCTTGCCACGCCCCCTTTCTGGGTATATAAGCAGATTGTTTGGCTCACTTTCTCAGTTGCCAGGAGGCACTGTCTTGTGATGACCTCCTGGTGTTGCAACCTAAGGCAGATACTACGGGCTTCTCTCCAGCGGCCTTTTCTTGCCTGCTCTTGATCTTTATCATCAGTAGAATAGACTGAGCTGGTGACGCTACAGGAAACCGCAGAAGTGGCGTTGGAGCAGTGGCACTGGCAAAGGTGGGTAAAAGAGGTGGAAGAAACAGCAAAGGCTGTGAAGAGCTGAAGTTGAGAAACTGCAGACCCCAGTTGCTGGAAGAGTTCCAGGAAGCTTCCAAGCTTTGAGGGCCAGGGGTCCCAGACACCCAAGAGCTGGCTGTCAAGCACTGAGCCTGACACTCTAGTCCTGAGAGCTGTAACACCAGACACTGGCAGGAGCTGAGGGTCCCAACACCTGTGGTCAGTTGTAACACTGCAGGTGCTGCCTGCTGCCGCCCACTGCTGCTGGAAGGCCAGGATTGCAATAGCCTCCAAATGCCCAGGTCACTGGAGGTTAAAGCCCAGAGCAACGAGCCTGCAACCTGAGCATCCAGAGCCAGAAGTTGCTGGTTTCTAAAGCCTGGAGCAATTGTCCCCAACTCTCAGGGCTCAGACCCCAGCCTCCCAAGACAAATGCCCTCCATCAACATTGAACAAGGAGGCACATTGGTATATGTCACTTGGGTCACTTAAAAGAAGTATATAAAGCAAGCTGATGACTGGAGGAAGCCAGGACCAGCCCCAGAACCCCCAGGAAGACCCGACGCTCTTCATTTCCTGCGGTGTGATTCGGCTCCAGGGAGAGCGAGTGGCCTAGTCACATTTCTCTGGCAGGCCTCTGAGCTCCTGCCCTGCGGAGGCCAGAGCTGAATCACTTTTTCAAAGGAAATTCATACCCGGCCAGCGCACAGCAAGCAGAGCGTGTGTGGTCTGGAGGGAGGGCAGACAGCGTTCACTTGGGTCTAGGGCCAAAATCACCGCTCAGAACGGGCCCTCCCTGCCCCGGGCAGGTCTCAGAGGTTCCATCGCCGGCTCAGCTCCGGGTCTGGGAAGAGGAGATGCCTGGGTCTGTGTCTGGAGAAAAGCCTTCAGCAAGTCTCCAAAAAAGGAGGCCTCAAGATTCCCAGGTGGGATGGGAGTAGGCATATTTTTAACATATGGGGGTGCAGCCGTGCCGGAGAAAAGGAGGTGAGTCATCTTGTGGGGCCCATATTTCCTTCCACAGAGAAATGTGGGGCGCTCGAGCAGCCCACGCACCTCCCAGTGTCTGGGTGAGGGACGGAAATCACTTCCATCAGCCAGCCTGGGGACTGGGCTGCAGGGATGGGGTGCCCCTCCCTTGCATAGTCTTCATCAAGGATGGAGGGAGCAGCTGCTGGTACCTGAGCCCCACACCCAGGGACCCTGCTGTCCTGAGAAGTGCAGGCTCCAGCAGAGAGCTGGCCCTGTCCCACACAACCTGGTGGTTCACCAGCTGCTGGGTGTGTGTCCAGGGGAGGGCAGGCGTGTGTCCTGCAGTGCCAGAGGCTTCCTCAGCCACCATGAACCAAATGGGGTTTGTCACCTGGTGGTTGATTATCCACTATTTATAGAAAGCACAGCCTTCTGCATAGGAAGGGGGAGAAAACATAATGTCTGAGGATCTCCTTGGATATTCCTTGTTTCGAAGTCTGTGTTGTTTTTAAGTATATAGTTTTCACCTATAAAGAAGTTGGGGAGACACTTGTCCATCACTGTCCCAAGCAGATGACAGTTGGCACCATGGCCCTTAATTCTGATCCTCAATAAAACAATGTAAGGGGTCAAGAGGCCTCATTCCCTCTGCAGGGGTCCAGACTCAGGCTGATCTCAGTAGAAGGTTGGGAACTACCCTGGCTGCCCTTCAATTATCTACGGACCAGAATGGGTGATGGCTCCCACCTTTAGGGAAAGCAAGAAGGAATGGGAGGGGTCAAGGAAGCTAGAGCCAGTCTCAGTCCTTCAGTGATTCTGACCTTTCTTGGTCTCAGTGAGTCATAAGTTACCAGCAAGGCAGAGGTAACCCCAGCCTAGCCCAACAGACCCAAGGTAGCACGGTCAGGGGCACCATCCAGCACTGACCAGGGGAGGTGGCAGGTGAGCAGACCCCAACAGCCTAATGAACTGAGCCTCCTGAGTGCCGGAGGTGAAAGCCTAGGTCAGGTGAGACCCCAGGACCTGGCTCTGCTGCTCTGCACACCCCCCAGCTGCACTGTCTACATTCAGATAGACTTGACTCTCCCACCCCATCCTGGCTCTGGGGAAAGGCAGGCAATGCCTGGGGATCCCCCACTCAGCCAGGCTGCTTCTGGGACCACAAGCTCCTTCTCGAGTGTGTGATCATTCAAGGACAGTTCCAGAGCCCTGGAATGTGGCACCCCATACCCTTCCACCCTGTCAAAATGCTGCTGAATGTTCCCTTCCCCAGCCTCCCAGGCCCGTGAGCCAGTAGAATCCGCTTTGGGCTGAAGGCCCTCTCCCGTCCATGGGAGGTGACTCAACCACAGTGTGCACACACAGCTCCCCATATGGTGCAGACATGTGCTCGTGTAGCTTCAGATTACAGCGTAGTCTCAGTCTTGGAGGGTGGCCTCCCCACCTCCTGACCTGCCTCTTCCCTCTTCAGGTGCCGTTGTCCATGGTCATGAGACACTGGACG